TAATAGCATCTTAACTTACAGATCAGTGCAGTTTGTAAATATATCTTCAATAAGTGGTAAATCATTCAGCTGCATTGCCAGCCTAACAGCCTGAGGGTACTGGCCAAACTTCCTATATAATTTGGCAGCAGCATGAAGCAGAGTACTATTTTCTGGATCTGCTACATATGGTACACAGCTTGTTAAATATAAACAAACTCTTTGATACGCACTTTCATCTACGTATTGCTCCAATAGATCTAGCCTTTCAATTTCCATTAGCAGATCACAAGCTTCCGTTTCAGCATTGTGGGCCATGTTATAAGGTACAATTTCATGTACCAGAGCTATTAGTTTTTTACTAATAGCTTCTGCATTGTCTGTTGGCTCATCCCATTCACCAGCTAATTCTCCTGATAGATGCCTAACATATTCATGTCCCCATTCTCCAATGGCTATAGCAGACCCAGTAAGTCTATACTTAAGACATTCTCTACCTTCACCCATAGTCATAGCAAGGACAGAAATGACATCAGAACATAATTCCTTAGACTTTACGTCTGTTATCTTTTCATAAATAGATTTCATAGTATCATAATGAGGTCTCATAAATTTAAGAGGTTTTGGAACACTAGTCATTGATGTTGTGGATGCACGGATATGGTTACGTAGAGACTCCAAAGCTGGATAATATAAACTTGTATTAGGATCTTGCAAACGTTCAACAAGGTGAGTTAACTCTTCTTGCAAAAGTTTGTCCTCTTCAGACTAAAAAAATATTAGAGTAAATAAATGTTATAATATTAAAGCTACATTTTTTTATATAGTGAGAATTTTATCTAAATTTATAATAAAATCAGATACGTTCTCTTTTACTTTTCGTATTTTCTACTGTTGAAAATGTTTTTTTTATAATAATCCTGTAGCAAAAACTACAACTCACCAATTCATTTTTATCTTCTTCTTTTCCGCTTCTGACTTCTTTGTTTGTTTTTGACTCCACTTTCACGCTTTCAGGCATTTTGTTTCAATTATCACTTAAAATGATTGCAAAATATAAAACTCAATCCACCCTTCGACCCTAGTTGGAGCGTAGGTTAGAGTAAATGTAGACCCTATTTGCGAGTCACCACTATTCATCATGGGTTAGAGATGTAATAGAATTGTGACATCAATTTCTGCATTTCTGACGAAGGTTTCCAGTTCCTCCACCAGATGGGCGTTCGACTTCCACGACTGTACAGTGCACGATTGATACTGTGAATATACAAGAAATATAGTAATCTATGTATCACTTTGTGCTTAAAGGTATATTTTGTGTAACGCTTCGCTTTGCGACTATCTGTGGATTGAACGTGGAAAATTGAAGAGTTAGTTATCCAATGATAATTTATAGTTACGGTACAATTGTGTAAAATATAATCGTGTTGAAATAAATCACGTTGTAAACGTTGCGACTGATTAACACGATATATTCAATTTTTTAAAAAATGAGTCGCAAAAGAATACATGAAGAGGAAGATGGATACGGTACATTCTCGTTTTTCTTATATTACCATTAATTAAAAAATTAAAAATTGTATATGTTGAAAGTTACTTTTTTTTACTCATGAGGAAGTATTATATTTTTATATAAATTTTATAGAACGGACGTATAAGAAACGTAGGAGGGTATCAGAGAATCAAGAGATTGAAGATCGACTTGAATCTCTCATCCTGAGAGTAGGAGAAAAATCTACATCATCCTTAGAGAGCAACCTTGAGGGTCTAGCTTCAGTGTTAGAAGCTGATCTTGGACTATTTCGCAGCAAAATACTTAGGATTCTGACTGAATGTGCAATTAGGATGCCAGAAAAATGTACAATTTATACCACTCTTGTTGGATTGTTGAATGCAAAGAACTTTAATTTTGGTGGTGAATTTGTTGACTACATGGTAAAGAACTTTAAAGATGCATTGAAAGCTTGTAAATGGGATGTAGCTAGATATTCATTAAGATTTCTAGCCGATTTAGTAAACTGCCATGTTTTATCTTGTGGATCTTTAATGCAATTGTTTGACAATATGTTAGATGCTGCTAATGAAGATGGTGTACCTCAAGTAAGACGAGATTGGTATGTAAAATGTATTCTATGTGATTTTGTGGATGAGTGTAACAAAATATATTAATTTATTATTATTTATTATAGGTATGTCTATGCTGTATTATCAACATTACCATGGGTAGGAAGAGAATTATATGAAAAAAAGGAACAAGAGTTAGACCATTTGATGGTTACAATAGAAATATTTTTAAATAAAAGAAGTAAAAAGCATCAAGCAGCATTAAGAGTATGGTCAAGTGACACACCTCACCCTCAGGAAGAATATTTAGATTGCTTATGGGCTCAAGTGAGAAAACTTAGGCAAGACAATTGGGCAGAAAAACATATTCCTAGACCATATCTTGCGTTTGACTCAATATTATGCGAAGCATTGCAACACAATTTACCTACTATAATGCCACCGCCGCATCATGAATCTTATTCCTATCCACTACCTACAGTTGTTTTCCGCATGTTTGATTACACAGATTGCCCAGCTGAAGGACCGTTATTACCTGGAAGCCATGCTATAGAACGTTTTCTTATAGAGGAACATTTAAAACAAATTATCAATAATTACTTCTTTGAAAGAAAAGATTGGTACGTATTTCCTACTCTTATCTAGTTTTTTTTTCGTATTTCTGTTCTGTAATTAAATATTCGCTTATAATGAATTACAGTGCAGCCCAACTATTGAACTTTCCATATAAAGCAAAAATACCATTGGATTATTGTATAGTTGAAGTAATATTTGGTGAATTATTTAGACTACCAGCTCCAAAGCATTTAGAAATATGTTATGGGTCGATTTTAATTGAACTTTGCAAATTACAACCATCAACAATGCCACAGGTAAAATGATAAGCATCATTATATTATAAATTCAAATATTTATCAGTACTTTTACTTTATGTTGATGTAGGTTTTGGCACAAGCAACAGAAATTTTATTCCGTCGCATAGACAGTATGGCCGCTACTGCTTTTGATCGTTTCGTATGGTGGTTCGCGTATCATTTAAGCAATTTTCAATTTCGTTGGTCCTGGGAAGATTGGGATTCTTGTTTGCAACGCGATCCAGAACATCCTCGGCCAAAATTTATTCGAGAAGTACTTCTAAAAGCTTTACGGTATATATGTCATGGAAACGTTTTAGTGATATAAATAAGTTCATAAAAATAATATTTTATTTGTAATTTATACTTAGATTATCATATTACCAAAGAATACGGGATATGATGCCAGGATCGTACGCTGACTTAATTCCAGCACCTCCAGAGCCTATTTATAAATATACTTCAGAGGGTGCCAGTAAATACAAATTTTTTAATAATATTATTTATAGATAATAGATGAAAATCCTATCTAGAAAAAATTGTTCTATAGGTTCACTTCCGGGCACAGCAGCAGCTCATGAATTGGTCGTTTCTATAAGACGTAAGTGTACTCCAGAAGAAGTTCTCAACGTATTAAATACGTTACCAGGTCCTAGAGAAAATGAAGAAACGAATAATTTCAATCCTTTGAAAATTGATGTCTTTGTACAAACATTATTGAATTTAGGTTCAAAAAGCTTTAGCCACAGTTTTGCAGCGATAGGAAAATTTCATTATGTTTTTCAAGTAAGATTTTGAACAAAAAATATTTATAATCTGACAAAAATAATTGCAGATGTAATAAGTTTGTATTTTCAGGTTCTTGCTGAAACTGAAGAAGCTCAAATATGCATTTTGAGAAATATGTATGCATTATGGAAGAATCACTATCAAATGATGGTAGTCTTGACTGATAAATTCTTAAAAACTGGTATTATTGAATGTAGTGCAATCGCAAATTGGATATTTTCTAAAGAAATGGTATCAGAATTTACCAAGTATGTATAATTTTATAAACAATACTGTTTTAAAACATTTAACAACATTTATATTTACTTATATCGTCTTTATAGATTATATATTTGGGAAATTCTTCATTTAACAATCCGAAAGAAAAACAAACATGTAACAAAGTTAAGCACAGAATTAGCGGAAGCTCGTGAGAAGTTGAGGAGAGCAGAAAGTAGGTCAGGTTCATCGTCAGAAGATGAAGACAATAATAAAGACAGGAATAGGGAAAAACCTTCGGAAGATGTTGTAGAAAGAATGGAGGAAAAGCTGGAAACAGCTCAAGCAGATCAGAAAAATTTGTTCCTTATCATTTTCCAGGTACATATAATTATCTTATTATTACTATTATAGAAATAAAAAAGATATTCACTAATATCTTTTTTCAGCGTTTTATAATGATTCTATCGGAACATTTAGGACGCTGTGATACTGACGGTATAGATTATAATACTCACTGGTACAAATGGACCATTGGCAGACTACAGCAAGTGTTCCTAACTGTAAGCTTTTTATCAAATGATAAAAATAAAATGTATTCTTTTGTTTGCACACAATGTTAATTGTTTTTTCTCTTATTAACAGCATCATGAGCAGGTTCAAAAGTATTCATCAACATTAGAAACTTTACTTTTTACTCCAGACCTGGATCCGCATATCTTGGATGTTTTCCATCAGTTTGTTTCTCTACGAGCATGAATGTCATTTTTTACAGTAATCGTTATGTTAAATGTATTTTATGTTATCGAAAAGTTGGGAGTCTAATTTCCAACTTTTGAATATTTTATATAATCATTGTTAGACACATTGTGACTTTTCATGACGCGATTGGCGAATTAGAACTAAAAAGAGGAAATTTTTATATTGCAATATATTCTGTGACAAATTATTTGATTTTCAGGACAGCATAATATCATGTAATATGTAACATAACATTATGTGTAAATGCTGAATGCGTTATTACGCGTGATGTAAATATATTTATCCAGCTTTAAGTGTATTTCTTTTCGACAAGGCATTACAGTATAAATGATAGAATTCATTATTTCATCATACGTATGTATTGTAAATAAAAATACAAAGAACAAAATATATTATACTGATAGTTTCTATTAAATATATAACTAAGATATATTCATTTTTCATTTAAGTTTATATAGTCGATAATAACATAGTGAAGTAACTCATTGTGGTTTGAATAATCTGAAAATATAAATAATAATAAAATTACGTATACTTTTACGATTATCTAAAGAGTTACAATAAGAAATTTTTACCGCGAGAAACGTTTCCATTGACATGACCGCCATTTTGAAAGCTGTTATTTTGCTGAATTTCATTGTCCTTGCGATTAATAACATATATAAACTATGAAACTTTTTAGGGAGCATATACCACACTACCTCACATCTAAAGTAATTGGTTATCATTGGTTAATCGTTGGAATGTAAAAGTTGAAAAACATCAAAGAAATATAAAATATTCTTACGTCGCGACATATACTTCTTCACTATGATTTAATAATCTTTGTCCAGGAAGGCAAAGAATGAATATATGTATAGCTTGTGCCAATGCAAGTGATCCAAATCGCGTCATTTCGTCCGTATTACCTAAGTTCAAGACAGTCTAAAAATAGCAAAGCATTTCGTTATTATTTATTATTATATAGAATTAAGGAAGAATTTTCTAATTTACAACGGCGTACTGGCGATATTTCTATTGATATATTTGTAAAAAATTTAATACGAATCGAAATTACATCTAAAATACTAACGAATCTAATCTCCTCCATTATTGATTACAGTTTGGCAATGTTTCAGCATACTTTCTATTAATTCTTCGGTGTACGGTACAGATAATGACCTCCATATTTTTTGATCTATTAAAGTGCTTAATTTTAAAATATGTTTTTCTTTCAATTTGTGTTTTATAATAGATCAAACATTTTATATGGAATTTACGTCAAGCTACGAACAGCCAGTCCAGCAAAATACCGCTTCAAATCGCTTAACATATACAGTATTCATTTCGAATAGCTCTATGCTTTTCAGTAATATAAACTATGGTAAGATATTATAAGCCAAAGCGTAATAACCACTCCCTCATTAAATATCAATTTTCGTAGATATTGCCAGTACGGTCTTGTGGGATAGATTGTAGTTGCATGTAAAAATACAATACCTACTCCAACTCCACCAATGCTAAGACAGATAATGTGAAAAAACATTTGAGCTAATATAAATTTGGCGAACAATGATTCCACGAGATTTGAGTATCTACAGAAAAAAGAAAAAAAAAGAAATGGATTAATTTCTCACACGAACGAAATAAGTAATGACTGTACATTAACAATAAACTATCGACCTTATTGCATTTTTATGTTCTTTTATACAAAGTAACAGTTTTCTAAAAATCTTCTCCTTTTCTTCCTGTGATAATTCGACATTTTTATACTTTTCGAGTAAATGATGATCCTTTAAGTTTATCAAGCTACTTGTATCCAAAATGTGTATAGTTTTTAATTGATAACTGTAAACAAATTTTTGAGATCAAATGTCACAGAATATTTGAATCAATAGAGATGAATTTTACCTCACAATTGCAAACAAAGCACAGGCATGTTGGACGTATAACATGTAAGCGCTATAGCTAGTAGAAATTACCATAGCTACTATGAATATTGCTATATATACAGGTATGAACACATAATAAAAATATTGTTGTGTATCCACGCCATAATCGACTATGACTGGTAAGCTTTTCTCCTTGGAATGATTCGATTGAATGAGATCAATTACTAGTGATATGGTTGGACCCAGTAAGAAAGCCAAAACTGTTGAATAAAGGTACGCTAAAATGGAAAATGCCTTTAAAGTCGATGAAAACAATTTCTCTTCATTTTGAACTAATGCACTCTTACAGAGATAATATAATATAATTTTGTTTCCTTGCGTGGTATAAAATTGAAGAATCTTATTTTCTGGCCGGTTTATGTAATAATTATGATCATGTTTAATGAATAAGAGTACATCTTTGACCTGTAATAAAAGAAAACAAAAAAAGATCATTTAATAAAAATAAAAAGAGTTTATTATAGAGTACAGAAATTTCCCCTCGTGAAAGTCCCCTCGTACTTTAATCATCGCGTATAAATTTTAACTGCAACGATAAACAAGTTGCTTTCATCCTGAGAATATTATTCCTTACCAAAGATTGAAATAGAATTAAATGAATTAATCGTTTTCAATTCTGAATATTCGTAGAGTAAACGAGGCAAGAGACGGTACCTTCTCTGTGTTAAAAATTAGGTTCAAATGCGACGACAAGCAGAGAGAGATTGTCACCAACGGTGGTATGCATTCAATGATAGCATTTTTGTTGACACTCCACTCATTGGATAATCCTCGAATCTAAAACAAAAAAAGAAACGAAGTATTGAATTACAAAAGCAAATAAATAAAAGCTTATTCAAGATACTGGTGCTTGAGAAAAGTACGAAATTCTATTCCATGCCAAATTATCGCATTCTGCTATAATAATTACAATTTTCACTGATATATAAATAATTCATTAAGCTCAGGGAATTATTCCTTTAATTTGTTGCCAACCGATCATACGAGATTCAGACATTTTTCATTAGTTAAGCGATCGCGAGCAGATTCGTTTCCTGATCATTCATTCAGTGAAGTACTGTATATACTTCGAGAAGGACAATTAAATAATTTCTATATCACACTTTTTATTTGTAATTATAATTGTAGAATATTTTATAATATAAAAAAGAAAGAGAATATGTGAAAAAAATGTTATACGCTTTAAAAATGTCAACGCGTAAGAATAAAACTAGTTCACATCACATCACATTGCCAATTTTGTCTACTGCATATCGAAGACATCGAAGAAGTTCTCCGCGCGAAGGGTTTATTAAAACTTACTATAAAATGAAAATCGTTCTAATGCGGAGAATCAATTTTCTATAGTCTACTTTTAACAGGACGTTTAGTAACAGTCGATCGTTTCGCTTATTAAATAGATCGTTCTGTGTAAAATGATAAAAGGAAAAGAAGAAGTACTAATATTCTTTAATTAGCTATCATTCTACGAATCTATCATTTTAACATTAAAGGAATAAAACCTCGAGGGAGAGCTTTTAAAGAACGTAAAAATCTCGTTTTTTTTTTATTGAATGAACGCAGGAAGACGGACGCTGCGACTGTTTAAATAATTAACTAACTTGTTAATAATTTAACGAGCAAATCATCGTCGATTTTCCTTGTGTTTCGTTCGACTTTTTATTACTCGCCATCGTCGCAGTATATTATACTATGTCTTCGTCTCTTAGCTTCAATTATGAGTCGAAGAAATGAAAGAAACGCGACGATAATCGACATGAATTTCTTCGAGCAGCCTGCCTTTCGATTGAACAAGCGTCTTTTGTCCATCATCGGAGTATGGCCGTTTCAGAGTACTCTATCGAAAATATTAACGCAAGGCATCGTTTACTTATTCTGCGTCTCTCTCTCCATAGCCGAGGTAATCCTAAAAATACGAATTATGTATAAATAAATTGATGTTACTAGAACAAAAGCCTAGAATAATACTTTGCTCGAATGATAGGATGAAATTGTAAAAAGAACAATAGCATGAAATTTATGTTTAAAAAGATATTTAGTGGTAATAATACACGATAGGATATTATGTAAGATTGTGTTGCAGTTTTATCAATGATTCAAGAAATTCACTATATTCCATGCCAAATCATTGTAAATCATATCTACTTACATATCTATGTACGTGTGAATTTGCACTATATATTTATGATAGCAAAAATCCATCGTTAATATAATATTTACTACTGGATTGAACTAGTATATAAAAATTGCCAGAATTATATGATAAATTTAATGCTTTTCTAACTATGCAGTGTTAATCCAATTTATGATTTAACTATCGAAACGTACCGACAAATATAATTCTTTATCTTATAACTGTAAACAAGACAGTCATGTTACTACGAGAATAATAATGTATGGCGATGACGATAATCATAACGAACGCCAGTAACGTCTATAAATTTGTATAAGTTTCACTATAGCTGAAATTGTAAAAATTAGATCTTCGTATAATTACACGCCTTAACACGCTTCAAGAAATCCAAAGGGGGAAAAGTAATAGACGCAAAATTGATTAAAGATGGATGAGGAATATCAAACGATATTGGTATCACAGAATGACGAATTCGAACGGTGGAAATACATTTTCTTCCAATAGTCTAGACATCCATAATTACGCAGGTCTTGCATAATGGTAATTCATCATTCCAAAAAGTTTATGGGAATTCTGTTGTTTTGTAAAGGATACAATTATTCGGAGATGGTTAACTTCAGTAACACTTCAATACTAATATTAAGAACAATAACAATTATTGTTTTTTAAATTGTTGAGGACAGAACAGTGAAATACGATGAGATTGTCTGTGTGTCCTATAAAAAGAAGAGAAATTACTGCAATTGTCGATACATAATTGATGAAGAGAAGTATGTAAGTATTAAGGCGGACGTTTGCACGTTCAGTTATATCATTTTTGACTAATTGATAAGATCTTACAGTATTTGCACTCAATTAGCATGATACATTAGATGTTGGTGTCATAATCTATTCCGCACGATTCGATCGATTTACTTATCTGAGAACATAGGGTAACTTACATTTTAAAAGATATCGCTTAATCAGAGTGGATAAGTACCAATATGTTACAAAAAATATTAAACAAAAATTATATTTCGTATATAACGTCAAACAGATCTCCCCTTGTTCAAAGACAACTGTTTGATGATTGGTGTTGCATTAATTTTAGAAAAGAAGTTGTTAAAAAGATAAATAAGACGTCCATGATAGTCGAATTATACGCCATGATACTTGTAAGGCCAAATCCTAGTCTTGCACAAAATCTATTTCACAAAATCTCAGGTTCAATTTTAAACCGTAATCGTTCAAACAACTGTAAATAGATTTTAAGCCTTAATTAATGGTATTCATGGATCATTTAATGGAGCATTCTGTTATTTCAGACAATTGATGATAATGTAAAATTATTATAATTATTTACCATTTCGTATATCAATCAAAGTAGTTTGTGTAGTTTTCTGCAAAATTTTTTATTTCTGTCCGACGAATAACTCAATAGGATACAGGAAATCATTTATGAAGAACGTAAATCTCCTCATCTCGTCCTTTCCTTAAACAATTTCATTTTATTAATTGATATTCAACAACAACGTCAAAAAATCAAAAAGAAAGAGGTAAGTAATAAGGAATTAAATCGTCGCTTTATCGGAAGAGTGATACAAATAGAAAAGGTATATTTTTCAAGAAATCGGTTTTATTACTTTTTCAGCGAATCAAAAGTAACGACTTTTTAGATGTGTCATTCTTCTGGCACTAGTTTCTGCTAGCACCGATTAAATGTGTATAACATGTATATACATGTATATAATGTATAGTGATGTCTCTAGAATGTTTTGAATCGTTTTGAATATATGCATGTGGCGGAAAATTCGGACCATTTCGAACATGATTTGATACTTCAAACTTTCGAAGGTCTTGACAAGTTTTAAATCTTAAGTTTTTCGATAGTTATTGAGTATTTAAATTTCGGATAAGTCTTGTTGTGAATTTTTACAATATTGACAAATTTCAAATCACTCCAAAATTAAGATCCAAATGTCTATCACTAATAATACACATGTAATATAATAAAAAGCTAACGATTCTTAATTCGTTTGAAACTGGCGCCATGTTAGTTATATAGACGTAGATTATAGTAAGAAACAAGGGAATTTTTTTCCTGGATTGGTGGCTATAACGCCTTCCACTCGTATATCTTTCGGTCGTGTCGTGATCGGTGTCGTGATTGTTCGATGAGTATAGTCTGGTATAGTTTATGCGAGGTACTTACGAATAATCGGTGCGTCTAGCGATTATCGGGGAGAAAAAATATCGGTGTCTCGTTTATCGTCAAATATTTATTCATAGAATTTTTTTAGTTAGGGTGATTTTATCCCGATAATATTGGTCCGTGAATCCGTGTGTGCCGTAATCATGAATAAGAGGATCATCAGCGCGATACTATTCGAATATCATGAACATAGTAACAGTGTAATCTAGAAATGGAAAATTAAATTAAGGCATAACAGTGGACAAATGATTTTTATACTTCGTTAGTTTTTGTGCAAACGATCGGTTGACTGTTGTTGCGTGTCTCGAACGTGCGGCGATAATCGTTTCTGAACGCAGAGCTCAGCATGGTGATACGGTAAATAGACCATCGTTTCTGAATGCCTAGGTTAATTAAAGTTGTTTGTACATTGTGATTCCTTTACGATCCATTCGTGCTCGATATTACTCCCTTTCTTTTTCTATGTTCCAAATCGGTAGATTTTTTCCCAAAGTTTTTAGTTCGCTGTTCGATCAAATAAACATTTACCTACATATATATTATTATTATTATTTTTAAATGTAACTTATAGAATGCCATCCAAATAATATTTTTCCAAAGATTGAAATCTATTGCTAGAGTTTAATATTCGTTCTTAATATTTTTCCATAGGTTACAATGTTAAATATGATGTAAAATTAAAATGAAATTTTCTTTGTTTATTATCAATTTATGTGCCATAAACGATTATATATAAGACGTTTATATCGTGAAAACGATGGATAAAAATAAATTGGCAGATATATTCTAGGTTTAATGAAAACATTTTATTTAAAATGACGATTGAATATACAATAAATATTTTTATATTTTACAAAAAGCGTTTTATTATTTTCTCCAAGGAAAAATATACACAAGTGTGTGTGATAGAAAATGATGGTATTAAGGATGCCTTAGCATTTATATAATGGTTGTGGTACTATGTTTATGATTTATATAAAATCAAATTAGAAATACTTAAAATAAGCACAAAAATGTAAATACATTATTGAATGTTTGTATATTTCTACAGTAATATGAAATAAATTAGAAGTATTTAGATTTAAGATTTAGTGACATAGAAATTAAACATTAGAAATTAAATAACTGCAGTTAAATATTACTTAAAAAAAAAGAATATTTAATTTATTTAAATGAGAAGCATGTATCATTTAAATAAATGTCATTTGAATAAGTATGCATGCATCAATTCTTGGTTATAGTAATGTTTAATGTAATATATGTACTTGTTTATATCAATGCAATTGATGGGTGCAATATTTTGATAAAAATGAATATATAGATAAGATAAAAGAATCAACTCTTTGACCAATACAATCAGATGAAATCAAGAATAGCTATATCAATTAAACAGTCTTATATTGGTAATATATTTTCCTTAGAAGATATAATGTATTTTTTATTTCTTGCTTGTAATATCTGCTGTTCTAATTTAAATAAATATGTTATAAGTAAATTTTATCACGAGGGTATATTTTTTATGAACAAATCTATCTCAGAAAATATCTTGACCATACTGTATGACATCATGTATAGGAACAGACAGTTTTTCCTACAAAGCAATATCAATGTATAATGTTACAGTTATGTATAATTAATAAAATAATAAATTAATGTTCGCATAATATAACATAATATAATATAATATTCCAATATACCAATTTATTATACCAGGATAACAAATCCTTTCTTAGTTTTCTACTATTACTGGATTTTTTATCTTTTCTTAATCAAAGAAGTAACTAGATTGTTTGAAACTTTTATTAAATCTAGGAGAATGCTAAACTATACAATAGTATAGCAATTATTATTACACTGAATGTTTCTTATTGCAGATTATAATTACCAATTCACAGCATCCCATGTTGCACTTGCTCATGTTTGCTCAACTTTGCAAAGATACTTAAGACTGTCTGTCCTTATGAGTATCTTTTGAAGTACAGTGGAAGTAGTAATCTGTTAATTTTACTCAAAGGAGGATGCCAGTAACTAAACGTATTCCATGCCCTTCGCGGTAAGTAAGTGGTTTACGTATTACATACTGTAGGACAAGAAAAAACAGAGATCTACAAATAGGTGACTTATATTATATCTTTATATTAATTTTCAAATCTTTCTTTTTGTAATTCAAATTATGTAATCCTTCTTAGGAAGGTTTCCCCCTTGTGATTTTTAAAATGAATTACAAAATACTGTTATTTCTATCATTTTAAAAATAACAGGTTTATTTTCTGAATTTTAGCACTTATGTTACTGACATCCACCTTAAAGCTATAAACTACTTATAATGTGTTAAAATATATGGAACAATTAATTTAGTTGTCCATTTTTATACATAATGACTGTATATTTTCTAGCATAAAAAGTGTAAGTAAATAAAAACAAAACTAGATACTTCCACACCATAAAAATGTTTTAAACCTATGAAAATATTTGTAAAAATATCTATGTTTAATACTAGGCTTAAGAATACCAACAGTGATACAATGTGTAAGGAACATAGACATTATATTGCACTATACAATATTGTAAGAAAGAAAAAAGGCAAAGGTGGCAGAAATATTAATCATTCACTCTTTCCTCAAATATTTCTCAATCTTAAAATAAAATTATTACTTGTAGTGTTATATCAATAACTATCATAAAGATAATATCAGTTACTAGTTTTGCTATTAATCATTACATTACATTTATTTCAGATCTGACGGTGGTAGCAGTGAAAGTCCATTACTTGTGGAAGAAGGAGAAACAGTTGGTGCACCTCACAGTCCACGCAGCAAACATAATCACAATCATACACATGCTAATCCTCATAGGTCCCACAGTTACCGCCATGAAAAACCAAAACAGCTAATAAAATATGGAGAATTAGTTATTCTTGGGTAAGAAGCTAATTTTTGTCTCTTACATTTGAATAGAAATATTAGTGTACGAAAGTATAAGTTAATTAAATATTTTTTAGTTACAATGGATTCCTTCCACCAGGGGATAGAGGAAGGAGAAGAAGTAAGTTCGTTTTGTTTAAAAGACCTGTACCAAATGGCGTGAAACGCAGTAAACATTACATCGTTAAAACACCTCATAGTTCGCAAGCTATTCTTAATACAAAACAACATTCGATATCGTATACTCTTTCTCGAACACAAGCCGTTATCGTGGAGTATACCGAAGATGAAGGAACTGATATGTTTCAGGCAAGTTTAATATTGTTTAATTCTTTTAAATATTGGAATATTCTCATTTACATCAATGCATTTATAAATATAGGTTGGACGTTCTTCCGAATCTCCTATCGACTTTGTTGTTATGGACACATGTGCAGGCGGTAGTGACGGTTCGAACGAAGGACGCGTTGCTCAAAGTACAATTAGCAGGTTTGCCTGTCGAATTCTCGCCGATCGATCGGATCCTAGAATCGCCAGAATATATGCTGCAGGTTTTGATAGTTCAAGAAATATCTTTTTAGGGGTAAGTTTCCTTTTATACTATATACAAATACTTGTTTCAATGGGATTATAAGAAAAACATAAAAATTGATTGTTTTAGGAAAAAGCAACAAAGTGGCAAGAAAATCGTGAGATTGATGGGCTCACAACAAATGGCGTTTTAATAATGCATCCGCGGGGTCAGTTTTGTGGCGGTGAAGCACAGTGTGGTTTTTGGAGAGAAGTCAGCGTAGGTGGAGGAGTTTTCTCGTTAAGGGAAAGTCGAAGTGCCCAACAAAAAGGAAATGTCGTAGAAGATGAGAACAATATTTTGCAAGATGGAACTTTGATCGACCTTTGCGGTGCCACGTTACTTTGGAGATCAGCGGAAGGTCTGGCAAAGTCGCCAGTAAGTGCAAATAATTTATAATCCTTATATTCGTATGAAGATTACAAATCGAAAATATAAAATATGTTTTACACAGACAAAGCATAATTTAGAAGAACTAGTTGATGCTATAAATGCCGGAAGACCACAATGCCCCGTTGGTTTAAATACATTAGTTATACCACGTAAAGCAGCTGCAGATTCAGCACAACAGCAACCATATGTCTATTTAAAATGTGGACATGTACAAGGTCTCCATGATTGGGGTCAAGAAAAAGACAAAGCCACTAGAAGGTGTCCAATGTGTCTAGTAGCCGGTTCAGTAGTTAAACTTTCTATGGGAATAGAACCTGCATTTTATGTGGATTGTGGCCCGCCTACTTATGCATTTAGGCCTTGTGGACACATGGCTACAGAAAAAACTGTCAAGTTAGTATTAAGTATACTACAGTACTTGTGGGTTTTCATTTGTTTAACGATATATATTTATAGTATGTAAAATTGTATCGTGTTACAGATATTGGGAGAAAGTTGCAATTCCACATGGTACAAATGGTTATATTGCAATTTGTCCGTTTTGCGCAGTCCCTCTTGAAGGAACACCAGGATACGTAAAACTGATTTTCCAAGATAATGTAGATTGAGGTTCGTTTATTGTAAGATCGTGAGTATGTGTAGAAACTATTAACTTCTTATAAAATGCAAGGACTATTGAAATTAATAAAATGTAAATAATCTTAATACGAATATATATATATATAATATATATATATTAACAAAGTTCTATCTTCTTCCCACAAACATAAATTTAAGCAAAACTTTTGTATGTACAAATAGCTCTGCAATACTTACTATGTACATGGCTCTTAAAATAAATATCCCTTCTTAAACAGTATTAATTATATATATTTTTTATATATCGTGGAATCTCTTAATTTAATAACGCAAATTTTTTAGTTTTTAAAGTCTTAACGTCTTAATTTTGTAGCTACTGTTTTAAAACCAAAACTTCTGTTTTCTTATATGATTTGAATTTTTCAACTGGTGAAACGTAAGGTTATGAGAAAATGCATGGTTGCAGTGTTTGAATCAATAATTATTTAAACGTATATATTTTTGAACATATTTTCATTCTTTATGCTCGTATAATATTCACATAAGATCATGTAATCATGTTATAAATACGTAACATTTCCAAATATTATAGAATTACGCCTGAACTATCCATATTTACACGAAATAGTAACTAGATTTAAAAGTATACTTAATATATCAAGATCGAATAGAATAAGTATATTAGTATCTAATAAATTTATTCCTGTTTTTACATTGACAGGTAAATATGTTTAGTTTTACACGAAGATATTTCGAAATATTGGTGTCTCGAAAAAGTTGTGACGGACAATGTATAAATCTCAGTTTATTTTATTCAGAAAAGATCTCTATTGAAAAAATGATGTTCAACAAATGCGATCCTGCTTTCTTTTCTTTTTTTCTTTCTCTTTATACGTAATGTGCATAAGTAAGCACGTGAGAATTCATACGAGGAAAAAACGATTGAGCATAATTAAAAATGGTAATTAGTTTTATCTTTTCCGATCATTGGACCCACTACGACGAGAACGGGATCGACGGCTACGGCTACTACTCCGTGAACGTTTCGATCTGAAACAAATCAAACAATTATCTTTAATAATCATAACGTAAGCACTAATTATGTTTTATTTGTTTACAGATTCAACTCCGTAAGAACAAAAACTTATACCATCTAGTTTTTACGCTAGAGAAATTGTTAAGAATTGTTAAATTACATGCTAGTTCTCAATCAACTGTAACCAACCTTTTTCCACGACTGCGACTTCGTGAGCGAGACTTTCTCCTATCTCTATCTCTGCGTTCGCGATCTCGATCTCTGTCACGATCACGATCACGATCGCGGTCGCGGTCGCGGTCACGGTCTCTGTCGCGGTCACGATCACGATCACGATCACGATCTCGATCACGATCACGATCACGATCTCGATCTTTGTCTCTATAACCCAATCCTCCACGTCGACTGTCTCGATCTCTGTCGCGGTCATCTCTATCTCTGTCTCTGCGTCTGTCTAACAATGATTCTCTTTTTTCTTTACGTCTCTCCTCCACGGTTTTTTGAAGCTCTGCCAATTTCTCACGGATCTTGATAAAGCCCAGATGTAATTTTCCACCGAAATGATCCGCTAATCGTCGATCGTTATCATGAATTCCAAGATATGCACTACAAACTTCACAGACTCTTAGCTTTTGTTGTTGATAACTGGATGCCGGCATACTGTTCCGATATTCTTGTTCAGCCTCGTTCTTTTTCTTTCGTAACTCGTCAATCTCACCCATAAGCTTCATCGATTCTTCGACAAAGCCTTCTTCTCCAAGTTGTTCAGCTTTCGCCAACTTTTTGCCGATTTCTTCTGCGAGTACGTGAACGTTATTTGCTTTCGCCGCCACTTCGGCGCTAAGCTCTTCCTGCGTTTCTGCGAGTCGTTGTTTTGCTTGTTCTGTACGACGATCGCAATCAGCGATAAAATTTTGTAAATGTTCCATAGCCTTGAAACGTACGGTAAAAGAAAAAATTCAATTAAAAAATAGGCTATACGGCGCAAGTAAAAGTAAATTTTCTATTCAACTTAAAAATTTGATAACAGAAAGGAACAGAACTTACATCAATGTCGTAGAAATGGTCCTTTTTCTTTTGTGCAGCTTCATAGTCAGCCCGTAAGGCCAAGTCGTGAATCTGGGGGCATTCTCCCAGGTCCATGCGCTGCGATTTACAAATCATTCGATATTAGCTTATTATTACATTCGATCCTAAGAAGCCTTATTGGATTTATTTAATATATACATATATATATATATATATATATATATATACATATATATATATATATATATACACGCATATATACACATATAGTCCCTCCCGACTTGTTTTATGAAAGATTATATTACGACAAGAACAAGGTTTCTCAACTGGCTGTTCCGTAAATAGAAAACCGAACTGGATAAATCGATAGCCAACTAAATAATTTAAAACGCAACAACCATAGAAGTTAAAGACCCTAATTATCCAGAAAAATACGGTCCAAGGATGTTCTTTATTATTCTTTTTTTTTACGAGAACTTACAAATTGTAGACAAAGTATACAAATGTAGACTTCCGGTATAGACATACGCGCTTACAAAGTAATTATATATACTTGTATATATATTTTTATCGAATAAATAAATATACCAATACATATTTACTTATTCTTATATACGTACACGTATATACGCTTACATTCAATCGATATTATCATTATTTATTTTTTTGATTCACAGAAATTTTAAAGTAAAAATGCAGTTCAATTTACAGATAAATATTTTGTTATGTTCACTTACAGAGTGGCAACACCTCTCCGCCTGACACGACAATGCGATGGCAATGAAGCTACAATCAGCACACACCTTAAGTTCATATGTTCAATGGTCTATGAAACAACTTACAACCTAATAGGTTTATTATACTATTTACGGTAGAACACGAAATTGCGATATGTGAATCAATTCTAGACGATTTAGAAAACGAGTTCAATACGTACATCCAATGCTGAAGAAAATTTTTCTAACAAAACTGCCGTGCTGTATAGTTTCCCCTAAATAAATGACTCTCTCCCTCTCGCTCACTGTTCATGCCACTTTTCACTCTCTTTTTTCTCACCGATGACTTTATTATCTTGCAAATTGCCAAAATAAGTGTTTAATCATTAACAATTAATGTACGATTTTCCCTTTGATTTTAGTATCTCATTTTATTACTGTTATTGTCGTTTTCAAATAAAACGGAGATTTAAAGTTAACTGCGTATGCATATCAACCGAAAGGTGCGCGTTACGATAGTACGGATTAAAATTAGTTTTAATAATAGTTTGATTATACATAAATCTCCCTAGTGGTACATACGTTTGAAATGAACGAATGAAAAGAAGAGTTATAGTATATCTGATGTCAAACATCACAAGACTAACATACAATGAAATCTCGATTGAACATTTCTCTAAATAATTTTTACGCAAATCTTTAAATTAATCGTTTACATAAAACAATAATATTCTTTTCTTTGTAGAAAAGAAAAATCAATATTATAATATTTTTCATAAATCGAAAAATTAATAACACAGTGAATTTTCATAAAATGGCCAATCGAAGTTTCATCGCATTTCAAATTGATTGAAAATTTATTGAAAAAAAAGTTTAAATATGTTGAAAAAACATTCACAATTCCGAAACTCGAATTCGTAAAAAATTTAGTGTTCTTGGCAATTCGCATCCATTTTTATTTTTTTCCTTTCCTTTTTAAAATCTTTTTCTTTCTTTTTACTTACAGATCACTGCTTCATTTCCTGAACCCACTATATCTCCGAGGATGAATACGATTTTCACACATACTTTCAAAGTAAACTTGATTTCTACCTGCCGTAAACGGCATTATTAGTAAGAAGCGACAATAAGACATCGTCTCATGAGAATCAGCATGGCGCTACTCACCAACTTTACACTGGCCTTTTGGGGTCTCGGAATTAATATTCGACACTCAGCCTCGCCACCGTTGACCGGTAGAGGGGCTGAGGTAACCGCCCGCCTTTATGTATCATTAATCAAATTAATATACCTAGTACTTGAATTATGTTAAAGAGATAATCAAATTGTAGAATTGTAATACGTACGTCCTCTTCGCTTTTTCAGTACTTACAGTAACGCGCATGTGAGAGCGACAAGTACAACACGACATATGAGCGGACAATACTCGCAACAATATTGTACAATGGATCTGATTGGAATTGCTTTTTCCAGAGACTCTGGAAATAGAACTGTAGGTACATTGACATTAGTGAACTTGTATATTCATCATTCTCGCGAGTATTTGCCAGAAGTATTTCGTTTTTTTTTTTCTTTCTTAACAATTTCATTCATATAATACTCTTTTTTGTGTTTTCAAATCAGTCTTTAAATACTTCGTTTTATTTATTGTTATTTTTTATATCTTACGTAGCTATTTTTAATTTTACCGTAATAAACCTGAGCGTAAGACATATACAAGGGTGCTTGCTAACTGCGATAAGAGACGTCACCCTAAGCACCGAATGCTAGGTTGTAAGTCTCCTTTTATCATCCCTCAACATGCTACAGTACTTTTCAATGGTTCAATTTCTTAAACACAAAATAAAATATACTTTTCTCCTTTTTATTTTTAGATCGAATTATTTAACAAAAGAAAAAAAAAACAAATAAGAACTAAAAAGAAATTCAATGATTCCCAGCCAAATGATACTATAGACTATAAACACTTAATATATATGCTTTATATAAAACGCATTTTTTACATTTTAATGAGAAAAAATTTTTTAAATGGGTAAAAGTTTTCTGGACCTTCTATAAAGAAATGTGATATTATGATATACCAGTTACTAAAAACATTTTCAATATCACTTTAAAAAATGTGCAATCTATTCGAACCATCACAGAAATGCAGTTTACTTGTTAAGATTTTATTTTTCTAAAAAAAATTCGCGTGAATATTTAATACATGAAAAAAGATTCATAATGTCGCCTTATTGCAAGTAATTGGGCGGATATAGAATCGAAAAATCTGAATTTTTAATTTTTCTTTTAACAAACACCCTTTAGACCAATTCGCACAAGATGACAAAGAAATGCGCGAAGCAGTACTAATATGATCGGTATTACGCTTGTCGTACGGAAAATCATGTTCACACTGTAAACGTAGACGTCATACGTTCGCGATTTCCTGCATGTAGATACGTTCCGCGATTATACGGGGCCACTAGACTAAATGTCGTTTTAATTTCTAAGTTTCATGAAGAAAAGAAGTAAAATGAATTTAAGAACTTTTAGAGTATTCTTAATATTATTTTGAGCAAATACTAATTTTTATTTACTATTGAAAATACTATATTATATCATGACATGATATTTCATATATTAATAAAATTAATAAAATTGATAAAAAAACAGATTGTTAATGATTTCAACCATAAATATTCCAAACTAGATATTAAAAGTTCTGCATCTCACTTCTTCCCTTTTCTGAGGAATCTGAAAGACTTCTCCTTATTTATCATAAGTTGCTGCCCCGTGTTGCACTTCAACGCCTATCTGGTGTGAATTGATCGGAATCAATTCTCCGAGTGTATCACACAAATGTTATCCTATTATTTGTATGCCATAAGATTGACTTGTGTTGTTCAATTATTTGATATAATGTGTAAAATCGATCCGACCAATTGGCACAGATTAAAAATGGTATGATTCACAATATATGTACTTTGAACGATTTTTTTATGATATTCAAAACTATATAAAAACTACCATATGATAATATATGAAAAGAGATTTGTCAATGAAAATATATGTTGAATATAAAACAGTTTAATATATTATTAAAATAGGAAACGCTTCACTTTTTCCAATTGTCCAAATAAGATAGGCAACCATTCATCATTGAAAAACTTGACATAATGTGTACATAAAACTTAATTATGATAAATAATATCAATATTAAATAATTATTATAGTTACAGGATCCAAAATATATGTAAATATTAGATATGAATATGGATATTACATATATTATTTTGATCATTCAAATGAAATGAAATAAATAATGCATAGGAGCAATAAAATGATTTATAATATTTGATTATATCAATATTGAATATTGAAAATATATAACACATTTATGTGTATACATGTATGCATGTCTATGGTATATATAATTGCTTATAACGCATTAAATATATGAAACATTATGTTTTGTGCTCTTATAATATCTATACACTTATCTATAATTACTATGTTTTACTTGAACATCTTATAGCAAAATATAAATGTTTGCTTAATTATATAAAGCTACAATACAAAGCTTTTCTTTAGTGCACTTTTTTATTCAAGTTAAATGCAATATTAACTCTAAATGGTGCTATTACTAAAGTTTTATATGTGAAATATACAGCTTTTCTTATAATTTATATATTGTCATTGACATTATATGTTATCATTTATATCATATTAAAAACATATGTTATATGAATCATAACTCGTATAAAACACATACCTAATGCTATTACAAGTTACAGGTATGCAAATTGAATGATATTAATGTAACAACTGCATCTGTAATCATCTTTGTTATGTATTACTCTCACTTTATATCGATATAAGAAAAAAAACCAAATGTTCTTTACACATTGAAAATATATGTAATTTAATCATTAAATTATTATAGCTTTTGAAAATGATATTAAAGCAATGTTACATGTGAGTGTGGAAAATGTATTAATGTTTTACAATGTATGAAAAAAAAGCTCAAAAGGAAAGCAAATGAGTTTATTAATAAAGTGAAAGCAATTGAATCATGTAACCAGAAGAGACTGAAAAAAATACAAATATAATGATGAAATAACTAACTGCGACATCAATACATACTGATGTCTGATTGCTTTCATATTAATGCAAAGACGTATCAAAAGAGAGATACGATAATGCTCTATTATAGCGCAGAAGTGCCAATGGTATGTCATCGATATTCAATATGTAATAATTCAAGTAAACTCACTGTTGATGATAGGATTTCGTGTGGGCAGCATGCCAGCAAAAAGCTCTTGCAGACCTTTGGATCGGAGTATTTCACTTGAAATTTGTTATTTTCTCCTAAAATAATGATATATTTGTTAGTAATCAAGTCTCATAAACAGATGAGTATACATGTAATAGTAAAAGGTGTAAGCCACCATCTTGTATTTTTGTACGAGATTTCAGATAATTGTAAATAATAGTGTCATACGAAGGATAGTTAAATTCCATTTCTGAATCAATAATACGTACCATTCCGTCCAGTTCCCATCAACTGGTCAAGCATAGCACGCATCTGATCATGAGCAGTCATTTTTTATGGAAGTACAATATCTAAAATGCACTGTCAAAAATGGGGGAGAGCAATCAGCCACGCCGCCAGCCTTCGAGATTCGAGTTATTGTCCAACTCGTACTTATCGATCAGAATATCGTACGTACACCACTAATCGTGTACGTGTGGCTCGCACAGGTCGTTCTAGACAATATATAAAACTTCCGAGCATAAGTCAGTAACCAATAACGTTTCAGATCTTATATTCACATTCAGAAATTGTATTTGATTGGTAGTCCTGTTAATAACAATTCCATAATTTAGCCATCGATTTAATATATAATAAAAATAAGACAATATACGGAGTTGTTAATATTTGATATAAACCTTTTTAAAATTATCTATATTTTCTATATTTCCAATGTCTTTCTGAAATATTTCTCTATATGGCTTTAAGTTGGTAATAGAGCAACAAATTTTGCGAATTTCTTTCAAAAAAGATACACTTAATAATTCATAATTATAAAAAGCTATATAAATAAACGAACAGTATAAATTATAAAGAAAAATATTACCAAATTTAGAAAAAATTCACGTCTAATATACCTTAAATTCTAGATAAAATACGAAAATATAATAAAAAAAATATGATACGGAAGATGCAATTATATATGAAGTTGCGTCGGCGCAAGAGAAACGCATTTCATTAGCCTCCGGAACGATCATCTATGGTCATTGTGAATCTAGGGAGTTCAATTAACTGCTATACATATATTCAGTGCACTAGTAACCCTACTGCGCGTGTGTAAAACGCGCCGGGGGTGGTTAGTCGATGGTTCAGTCTACGAACGTGAAAAATTGCTATTTCAATCAAGATCCGGTTATATTGTTTGTGTGATTTGTATAAGAAGAAGCAAAATCACATACTATATTCTTTTCACTGATAATTTTTCGAATAACGACGTTAGAATAGACGACAAGCACGATAGAACCGATTTGGGGAACTGCAGCGTACAATACGCACGCGGTGTCTAAAAATGGCGAAGGTGTTTCGCGCGGTGACAGTATCGACTTTGTCAAACAATGGACAGTCAACAGCAAAATTTAACAAGCCGGTCACGCTTAATATCAATTATGATCCACAAGGTCTCAGTGTTGAATTCCTTGCAGGTACTGGTTCACTGATAAATAATCAATTATGAATTATGTTAGCGTCGTTACAAAGTAGACAACATAACCATACTTAAATGATCGTATAAAGTCTCTTTTTTTTTTTTTTTAATCAAAACTTAATGACTACTCCTAATAATATACCTCGTAATCATCGAATTTTTTTTAAAGACTTTTCTAATTTGTCATACAAAACGATTGACAAAATGTAGGATACTTATCTTTCCTTAAGTATCCATTTAATTCGATAGAATTTGTATTTACGATGTGATTGTTTTGCTACATAAATATAATTTTCATTTATATTAAATGATAATAAATAGATTTCAATAGTCTCTTTTTTAAACATTTGAAATATTTAAAATATTGTGTTTCCATTATTTTCTGAGAGAGAAGATGCATACTTTATAATCTCTTTGTATTCGTTTGATGTTTTTAAATATTCCCTTTTAATTATTATCAATTAATGAGTTTATTTTATTGTAGGAAATTTTTTATATAAAAGGAGAATATTGATAGTAAAAATTGCAGATGATTGTAAGTTATTTTGTGTATGTGAAAGGCAACTTTTTATGTTCTTTTTATTGTTTCATAATAGGAGAATCAACTGGCAGAGATAAAACAACACTATTGGAATTCCCAGTAACTCCTAGTACAGAGTGTTCTAGAGTTTCATCTAGAAGCTATGTATTCACACTTGATACCGATAGCTTACTTATAACATTTGTCAGTGAAACCGGTGAGCTAACAAATAGTCATGATTTAAATTGTATTGTTTAATTTAGTTTCTTATATCACACTAAAGATGGTATATTTTCCTAGATTTTAGAAATTTTCATTCACAAATATTGAAATTAAAGAACGGCAAAGGTGTTTCTGCATTTAATGAAAGGACTGAAGAGTCATCAGCTATGCAATATTTTCAATTTTATGGTTACCTATCTCAGCAACAAAATATGATGCAAGATTACATTAGGACTAGTACATACCAGCGGGCAATCTTGGGAAATCTGTCTGATTTTAAAGATAAAGTTGTGTTAGATGTAGGTGCAGGTTCTGGAATATTATCATTTTTTGCAGTCCAAGCTGGTGCAAAAAAAGTATATGCAGTAGAAGCAAGTAATATGGCAAATCATGCAGAACTGTTAGTTGCTGCTAATAACTTGTCAGACAAGATTATTGTCATTGCTGGTAAAATAGAAGAAATTGATTTACCAGAAAGAGTAGACTGCATAGTGAGTGAACCCATGGGTTATATGTTATACAATGAAAGAATGCTTGAAACGTATCTTCACGCAAAAAAGTGGTTAGTTCCAGGTAAATGTCATTTAACTGTTCTCTTGTTGCAATTTATTTTCAATAATTGTTATAGTAGAAATAATAAAATAATCATTTCACAGGTGGGAGAATGTTTCCCTCTCGAGGTGATCTTCACATTGCACCTTTTTCCGATGAAAATCTTTATATGGAGCAATTTAATAAAGCTAACTTTTGGTACCAAACATGTTTTCATGGTGTAGATCTCTCAGCGATGCGAAATAATGCGATCAAAGAATACTTTAGACAGCCAATAGTTGATACCTTTGATATAAGAATTTGTATGGCTAAATCTATCAGACACATTGTAGATTTTCAAACTGCTAATGAGACTGATTTACATAAAATAGGTGAATTTGTAGATCATGTATGATTTTTGCAATCAATGTATTTAACAATCAACATATTACATCATTTTATATATTGCTTAGAAATTGATGTGGATTTTCACATATTGGAAAGTGGCACTTGTCATGGTCTTGCATTTTGGTTTGATGTTGCATTTATTGGATCAACGCAACAGGTTTGGTTAAGCACAGCTCCCACAGAACCTCTTACTCATTGGTATCAAGTTCGTTGTCTTTTGGAAAATCCTTTGTTTTGTAAAAGCGGTCAACTGTTGTCTGGAAAAGTCATTCTTATTGCGAATAAAAGGTGAAACAATATAATTATAATGATGGCCTCTAAAGTTTGAGAATGTTCTTTTTAATATAGAATGTATGCGTAATTTCGTATAAAACGATGTTTCAGACAATCGTACGACGTAACAATAGAATTGAAACTAGAAGGGACGAATATGGAAAGTAGTAGTAATACTTTAGATTTGAAAAATCCGTACTTCAGATATACAGGAGCAGCTGCTCAACCCCCACCTGGTTTAAATAATACGTCTCCTAGCGAGTCCTATTGGACTACTCTAGATGCACAAGGTGCCAGACAAGCGGTAAACATGGTTAATGGAATGTCTGTGAACGGTTTAGGAGAGGTTTCTATGGATGCGACTGCAGCAGTAAATCCCAGTAATTTGCTTGCAATAGGTAAAAAAGAATGTTTGTAAAAATGGCTTTTTATTTTAAGAACATAATATAATTGTTATTTGCGTGATTGTAATCTAGGAGGCCAACCAAATATTCATCCCGGTTCGATTTCGAGTACAGGGCGGGGACGAGTAGGGGGTACAGCGACGAGTACACAAGCAGCACAGTTAATAGGTGGTGGAATCACTCCAAATATGTTTACATCTCCCGCTACGGTAAGTGTAAAAGTATCTGAATTCGACTTCGAGCGAGCTACTGCCAAAATGTGGTACTAAGTGTACTAAGATATTTATATGCTCCGTACTCATGTTCAATATGTGTAAACATCTGCACCAAACAATAGCTCGCTAAATACTCGATTTATAAATCTAAAGCAAAAGGATACTAAAGTGTACGCCTGCCTGCGTGTCTTTCGCGCTACAGCTTGGTGTTACTTTCCAGCAATCGCTGGTCCTTGGCAATACTTCACATTATCCAGTGAATCCCAGCTTGATGATTGGAGATTACGTGACACCTGGTAATGGCATATCATCTCAAACGTATCGACAATGATCAATGGCTAAATCATTTTGCACCGAGTATTCTCATTCGGCAAAACAATTAAATGATCGCCATAGCTCTAGCAGTAGCGGAGATATCAGCAACAACAATAAACAGAGCCGCAAGTTGGTGTTTAGTTCCCCAGCAAGCAAATTACGACTCTCATCTGCTGTTCGTATCTTAAACGCGGTTAACTTGGCCAATCTTAATACGAACGTTGGTCACGTTAGTGGCAACAGCAGCAACAACTTCGCTTACTTTAATAAAGTCATCATTGGTTCTGGTTTTGGATTTGGATGGAGCGTTAGAAGAAATAAGTCACAATGGGAAGCACGTTGGAGGAGAGTGCGAACCGTCCTCTCGTAGTTGTCATTAATTTCTAATTAGCCTTTATTTAATTGAAATCCCTTGAAGGTTTGATCTTCCAGATCGAGAAGTGCATGCTTGCCAAATGTACCCAAGAAAATAATATTTTTTAACGACAATACAGTTTACTAAAGCGTAATGTTCCACGCGACAACTATTTTACGGGATCCTGATACAACATCGATTGTACATCAAAATCAAATTAACGAAAGCAACAGGAGTAATCACAGTTGCAATCTTTTTCCCCTATTTCCTTCGATGTACACTGTTTCAAAAAGGTTTCAGTATCGGATTAACCGTGCATCTAACGATTAAAACTCTACTGTGTATACAGGTTTGATTGAGTTTCGATCTTAAGCGATTTTTACACAACGTTTAGGTATATATAGCGTAATAACGTTCCGAATATTTCGAAAAGTGCAAAAAGCAATAATTCGTTAGGGATACGATATGGAGCACTCTGTGGCATTGCCTGTTATTTATATCGATTTTATTTTTCAAGTGGTTATATTCAATGAATCCTTCTTATACTTTTCCTCTATTGAAAACGAAAAAAAGGAAAAAAATAAATCGAATATGAAAAATTCCGTATGGTTACGTCCACCATAATTTCATTTAATTTCTGAACTGTTATTTTTTATTTTTTAGTACGTAATACTTCCGTTAATTATTTATAACTTAGAGAAGAACAAAGAAATTGTATATAATTAATTACGTAAATCGATCGACCCGATGATATAATTTGCATTAACAATAAGAGAAAGAAGAACATATTCCAATAAAACGATGATAAATTATGTTGCGATTCGTATGTAGCTGATTTACTGTATTGTATTATTACAATGTACAGATACTAGAATAGCATGTATAGGCACAATTTCAAATTTGTGACGTTTGTATTACATATCGGCCTTCGGTCAATAGGATTAATTCTATACTTTTAGTGTACTTCTATTATAGTAGAATTCTACATATATCATCCCCATATGTCTCATATTGATTACTCATTTCATTGAGTAACTAAATTTTCATTTGTTGTAAATTGAAAGGAAGTGGATTTTGTTGTTTTAGTAAAATATGACTTATAATATTCTAATATTTATAAATTTATGAAATAAGAATTACGTAAACAATATGTAACGAAACAAAATCTTGTTTATTTAAATAGGTTTATTTTTCTTTTACTTGTTTCTCAGTATACATATTTTGTCTATTTCTATAAAAAGCATACATTAAACAAGATCCATTTGTTTCATTCTCCAATCTTAACAAATTTTTTTACGCGGTATATAATAAAAGTAGGAAAACATTTTTTTTATAGTCTCGAAATAACGAACGACTTATTTAATTGAATGGGTAATGATATATTTCTAAATTAAAGATTTAGGTAATCTTCTGATAATAAGGTATCTTTGTGATATTTGTAGAAATGGAGTAAACACGTGTAGTGATGTCAATGCGATTTTTACATCTTTCTTTGCTACAGTTTAAAGATACAGAGTTATAAAATCTTTCGCTTTATGTTATAGCAAAACCTGAAAAATATATAAAAAGTATTATATTTTTTTAGATTCTTGTTTTTTTTTTTTTTGCATATTTATGTATTCATTGTCACGGTTTCATTCTATATATTTTGATGATCCTAAATTTTATTATTCGAAGATTATCTATTCATAACATAATTGTACATATGATACTCTTAATTTTTACAAATTGATTATATTCAGATCTCGGTAATAACGTTTAAGTCTCATTAGTTCCTAAGGAGTGCTCTTTAGTTGCTATTTGCACAAACTTGCTTTTCATTTTAAGATACTTGTTTTTTCTTTTAATATATCAGTCCTATATATCTCGGAAAGTACTTTCAAACTTAATAAACCAGTTAGGTATACATTGCTCTCACAAAGAAGGGAATCGTTTGGTTTGAGACCAGCTTATAGTCTTGCAGATTAAATTTGTCGGATTTGATGTGTATGATATAAACCTTTATTTTAACGTTTATTTTATTGATTTATTGTCATTCTTACAAAGGATTTCCTTTATCGACGATGTAATGTTAGATGTGTAAATAATTTGCTAGTATTCTTTGATGTTTGTTTAAGGAGTGGTTGTAGTTGTACGTAACGGAGCATATAATTTTTTTAGTGTACGTATTTAATATTTGAGATCACATTGACTGCAGGCATTCCACAAGTGCTGATAACATTATACAATTCGTTACTCTATATAAAACATGAACATGCCTCTTCCAATCTCGTTCTTTCTCTATTTCTCTTTCACTCTTTCTCTTTCAGAGAAAAAAAATTGGAAACATTAAAAGCAATATTTAGAATCGAACGCGTACAAAAGTATTAGTTACCGTGTGTTTTAAGTTTCAATAGGAGAGACAAAAGATTGAGTAAAACTAAGCATATACCTTTTTTGATATTTTTCTAGATATTGCTTTCAGTGTTAGCGCGTGTACTTTCAAGCGTATGTTCTTTCTTTTTTTCCTTTGCCGTTTTTATTTCTCCTTTTTTATTATTCCATTTTAGAAAATTTTTAACGACTGAAAGATACAAAATATCTCAGGTAGCCAAGTAAGTTTGAAGGATACTGTTTTTATACATTTTCTGCCACTTTTCAATTGTGCGCTCGGATTTCGGAAATTTATGGTTACGTGTGGAAGAGAAAAAAAGAATAAGTTCTTCCCGTTTACTCTTCATAATATTGAGTTTAATTAATTGCTTTCATCTAAATACGAAATATTTGCAAGTAAAGAAAATGTACACGTATTAATTTGGACAACAAATAATTGATAAAATGTTTGCGTACCACAAAAGATTTATTACACAATAATGTCATTTCTGATATTGTTTCCTAGTTCTCTTGTAATGTGTGATAAATGAAGAGTTATTAGATGGTGTAGAAAGTATTAAGTATTAATCGATTTGCAGCAGGAAGTATAGTTTTAAAATTTGAGATAAATCGTTTGTTTTAATTAATCAATAATTTATAAAGCATTAAATTTTATAGAGTGACATTCATTCCTAACAGCAATTTCCTGTTGCTAATGGATTAAACATTTTTCCATTTTCTTTTGAGTGGCCAAACTGAAGAGTGATTTATTTAATTATAAACATTTTGTAACTCGGTTTCGATTCTTTTTTCTACATTAAAATTTTTTACAATAATCGAAACACCCTGATTTCAATATTATTGCGAAGTATTTATTTCATAATTAATCGAAATTTTTTATCCATTCCAGATATCAAAATCTTAAAGTACATGTATCGAAATTTTCATTGTTGGACATCAGAAAAATTGCTTTTTAAATTATATTTAAATTATATAATTATAGGCTTAATTTAAAGACACGTAAATTATCATTATTCATTTAGAATTTATTATAATTAGATAAGAATAAGTAATTGTACATAAGCTCAAAGGTGACATAAATTTTTGTTTCACAAGCGATTGTTTTAACATATAACGTATAATCTACATTATGCTTTGTTTACCGTAAACTGATTAAGGAAATGAAAAGAGAAGTAAAAAGAGATTGATAAGTATGCACACTTTTTACTTAAGAAATTAGACCACACTAGAATTCCAATAAAAAGGAAATGCTCAGCTTTGTACAGTGCATACATATAAACGTATAAATTCGTGTATGCATACACACTCGTGATATATACAGTTTGCCTATGTCTTTTTTATGTATAATGTCTATATATGTATAAAAGAATCATGTTTTACATATACGACAGTCGCAAGGAAAAAATCTGCTTACACACACGTGCATTGTACTTCAACAAAACTTCGATTACTTTATATTTAGTGCATTGACAATTTATCCTGTAATTATTCTCAGGTAAAAAATGCCATAAAGTTCGATATGTACGGTGTGAATTGATTTCCCTGAACGGCCAGGAAATCATCAAATAGAATAGAAACAAACTGAACGTTGATATATGTTATACTAATACATCATCGCCTTTGTAAGCCCCATCTAATGATACATCAAGAAGAAATTATACACAAAACGATCATTCGAGAACTGACGAAGAAATTCAACTTCAATAACTGAACACGATACATAATTCGACTTAATCGATTTGTATTGATACATTTAATAGAAGCATTCAACGTCAGAGTGAATTATATATTCGCTTTTAATTCTATTTGAACATTTCATGATTCTGAAAATTCGTAAAATTACTTGAAATTTTGTCTGTATTATTATATACATATTACTTTAATTTAAAAATTTATTTATTGCATTGCAAATATTTGTAAGTATTGATGTGTTGATAAGTTAATTATTAATTCCTGTATAACATATCTCTAAAGAAAAGTACAGTAAACGAGCGAACATTAAACATTTGTTCTCGACTATATATAATATACTCATCTTTTAACATTTTTTTGATTGAACAAGATAGGAAGTAAGCACAATATCTAAGTAAGAAGCGTAACATATTAGAACAAATTTGCCTAGTATTTGCAATCTACTTATTTGTAAAATATTAATATTTGTATTCTGCCAACGTTTCTACAGATAAACGGAAAACGAGATTGCTCAGATTATTTCACCTTAAATCTGAGATTAAGTTAAAATAAACTTATTTACTTCAATATCATTGTGAAATTCATTTCCAAATGTCGCGTGACAACTTATTTTTCTATTCTTAACATTTTAAAAGTTTATGTTATTGAAATAAATACATAATTTTTTAAATTCCTTTGTTTTCCCGCCTTTTCTTCAAATCGTAGTTTCTATGAATCGATATATCAACTCGCTGATTTGAAAATATTGATATAACGTTTACTTCACAATGAAAACGTTATAGTCGTGTTCTAATTACAGGATGTTCTTAACGTCATATGTCTTAAATTACATCGCTTTGGGATGAAAATTAATCATTAAAGTATGATTATTAAAAAGTTTGACAATACGGTGTTATTTAATAATATGTATGAATGAAATGATCATCGTAATAAATGAATGTCTTTAATTAAGTGTGATTAATTAAGTAAATTGTTAGTGGTCAATGTGTTATAAATGGTTCTATTTTTTATCATTTGTGAATTATAATCACATTTCATTTTTATTTGATTTCATTTCATCGATGAAATGATGAACCAAATCTTACCTAAAGACACTCAATATGTACAAAAAGTTCTGATGTCGTTAATTTTTTTATGTATTACACAGTTATTTATTTATTTGAACCATGTACAACCTTATTATTTCATTGATGAGGTTTTTCATGTACCTCAGACTTTGCGATATTGCGCTGGCAATTTTACACAGGTATGTTTCAATTGTTTGTAATTAATCTCTATTTTTCATAACAAATTATTACAGTTTTTCTGCTTATTGAAGACATAAATTATTTTCAAACTAAAAATTTAATTTTGATGAACTACGTTTATGAGATATATTACTGAAAATAAAATAAAATGTATTTCGTTATTTCGTTGAACTACATTTGAGGGATGTTATTTTCAGTGGGACCCTAAAATTACCACTTTACCTGGGTTATACCTAATTACAACTCTGATATTATCACCCTTAAAACTCTGTAATATCTTTTATATGAGATGCATAAATTTGTTTGGAACATTTCTGAATCTCTATCTTGCTCACAGTATAATTAAACAAATTTCAATAACTCATTGGACGCAAAGATGGAATGATTGGATGAAATTTACTGTGGCTTGTAACATTATGTTTTTTCCACCGTTATTTTTTTGGCATTTTTTATATTATACAGATGTCGCATCAGTTAATGCAATATTACTAATGTTATTGTTACATTTATATAAAAAATTTAAAATGGCAGCTTTAGTAGGTATGTATAAAAGCCAATGAACAAGATATATTGAATTTCAAAAGTAGCAGTTATTATTTATATCATGCAGGTTTTTTGTCTGTGTTAATTCGACAGACAAATATTATTTGGATTGCATTTATTACTATGGAACATTTATTTGACTTATTAGATCATAAAATGCACAAACCAATTTCACATGAACAGTATACTTCAATAATGTATTTAAGAGTGAGTAAATTATTGTTGAAATATTTGTCAAAAGTCAAATATTTTGCTTATTTAAAATTTACATTAAATGTGCTTTTTAGTTGTTATGGGAAAAAATAATGCAAGAAACATGTCACGGATGGAAGTTATTTATGAAGTTCATCATTCAGTTGGGTGTACAATTGTTCCCATATATTTTAATATGTTTTATGTTTATTGCTTTTGTTGTATGGAACAAAGCAATTGTAGTTGGAGATAAAACAGCTCATGTTCCCACTGTTCATATTCCTCAATTGTTATATTTTTCTACTTTCCTATTTTGCTTTTTATGGCCACATATGATTATTTACTGGAAAGATTATTTAAAGTTTATTAGTAAACACTGGGTGTTTGCAAGTTGTATCTTGATCCTTTTAACTATAATTGTTCATTTTAATACTCTTGTACACCCATATATGTTAGCTGATAATAGACATTATGTATTTTATTTTTGGAATAGGTTAATGGGAAGATATAAACAATTTAAATATCTTTTGGTACCAATATACTCATTCACTTTATATACAATGTTTCACGGACTTAAACATTTAAGATTTATGACACAAATTAATTACATCATTATGGTTTCTGTAGTACTTATTCCTCAGTTACTAATAGAACCACGTTACTTTATTATTCCATATATACTTTATCGGTTCCTTGTTAAGGAACCAAAGAAGTGGCAAATTATTGCAGAATCAATAACTGTAATTATAGTAAACTTTTTACAATTCTATATCTTTGTCAATAAAGTTTTCTATTGGAATGATCAGCTTTATCCTCAAAGAATTTCTTGGTAAATTAAAGGATGAAATTTTATGACTACAAACTTGTTATTTGTTTAATAAATTCTAAAATTTCCAAAATGTATGTATTTATTTCCATCCTGTATAATTCTTACAATACCTTTTAAATTCATATTTATTTAGAAGAATATCTATACAATATATTGTAGATAAGAATATAATATAATAAACATGCTTATACGTGTGTATACAGCACTTATATATATAGCTCGTATATATATATATATAATAGCAAAATAGATCATATAATAATTCATTTTAAGATTCACCTTTTATATCATTTTTATAAGTCATTAATACTTGTTCTTTTTTAATACTTTTCTCATAAATTTTTACTCGTAGAATACTTTTACAGTATTTAACAATAGCGCTTAACAATAATTGAGATTCAATGAGTGGAAATATAACAATTCGAGATTTGAAATAAAGCTTGTAAAATTTCGCGTCTTCTGTATTGTATGTAGATTCTTATAATCTTCTTTCGTTTCTTAGAAACATATCAATATAATAGCGTAAATCATTTGTAACACATTAAATGAATAACAAGTAAATAAATAAATATATGGACATTAATATTCGACAAATTGGCCATTAAATGCGATGAGATATAATCTCACATTTTTTGTTAATGTAGTTTTAAGAAACAAGTGCTAAAAGACATTTCTTGTAATGTCCGGAACAATCACCCTGTAAAAAACATAGTTATTAGACTTAATCAGTTAATTTTCTTGCATTTTTCTATTGAATATACTAACGGATATAAATTCTTCTAGCGATTCATTATATAACTGTCTGAATGTTTCTTTGATTTCTCCCATGTCCACTTCGCAACGTGTGACAACCAGTCTGATTAAACGATCATCATCTGTACCAAAACCTTTCATGCTTTTGTATAATTGTTCAGCAAAGAAACCAGCTCTGTTTTTGACGCACTTCACTGTGGTGAAATTAATTCAATATCAATATACCGTTTCAATCAAGATTATAGTAAAACATAATATATTATTTACATACCGATGGCTAGAAGACCTTTTTTGATATCACCCGAGAATTCGTTCTCGATTGCATCTTCAATAGCATGTCCCGTAATATTTTCATATTCTTGGAATACCTGTTTCAATTGTGGAACATTTCTTTGAACCAGTATCGCATTAAACGTTGATTCATCAGTTCCGAAACGGAGTTCCCCTGAAAAGCAAAGGAGAGTGCAAATACCATATACTGATAACGTTATAAATCAGTTGCGTTATTTATAACATTACATACCAGCTCTGAGAAGTTCTTTGGCATCTTCTATAGCGGCTGCGTGATCTATGTCGAATGACTCATCTCTGTTGGCACAACATAATGATACCATTAACCGCTTGAAATTCCCGGAAGTATCGTCTGTTAGATCATCCTCTAATGTTCTTCCATACACTAAACAGTAAAAGAGAAATAATTGTGATTCTTCAATAAGGAAATTTGTAATTCTAAGAAAATTATGTCTAGTGGGACTTACTCGCTTCGTAAGCTTGTTTAATCACGCGAATCTCGTGATTGGACATAGTACACAATACTTCTATGAGGACGCATTCGTCGGTACCGATACCCGCCATTGCGTCATGTAATTCTTTGGCATAAAATTGCGGTAACGGCATCATCATAGCAAGAACTAATCTTTCGAAGTTGCCCGACAATTCGGACTTCAAATCTTTTATAAGATCCTATTAAAGAAAATTTGAATTAATTTAAAATAATATATACATATTAGTCTTTTTATAGCCTATAATTAAATTTTAACGTTTTTACCTTCCCATATAAGGTTTTGAACTGGACTGCAATTTCTTGGCGTTGCAGATTACTGCGATTGGCAAGCACATGAATAATAGCTTTTTCATCCGTCCCGAAACCCTTCATTGCTTTCCTTAAAACTTCTGCATCTGCTCTGGCATCAAAATCGTTGTATGGTACAACTGTAGGGGACAGCTGTAACATAAACCAACGATCATACTTAATATCTTCATTGGAGAAACAACGATTAAAGTATATTTTTTGTATATTAAATCATTCTTTGGGCAATGTAGGCTTTTAGACATCTTTTGTTAGTCTCACCTTAGGCGTAAACTGATTTCTCCGGGGGGCTGGGGCTGGGGTAGGTTGATAGGGAGAAGATCTATCTGTGTGTGGAGAATAATATCCTGTACCCTGCCCCCCAGGATAGCTTCCGCCTTGATAGGAACTTGAATTATTTGAGTGAGCATTGGAAGCAGAGGTATAAGGAGAAGGTATATTAAAACATTCTTTTGCATCTGGTGCATTCCGAAGATTTGGATACATATTATAATTTTGCTGTTGTGGATATACAGAAGGTTGTCTTGGATATGGTTGCTGCATTTGTTGGGATGGGTAAGGGGAAGGGGATTGTGGCATAGGTAAAGGTATTTGTTGAGCAGGAGCTCCTGGCGCTGGAGGAGGACATTGGTTTGATATAGGATGATTAGGTTGCACAGGATATGGAGAATAAGGTTGTGGCATACCAAAAGACACAGGAGCGGGACTTGTAAAACCTATGTTGCCACTTTGAGGATAAGGCAGAGCACCGGGGGCAGAGGGTGTACCAGGTGGAGCCCCAAATGATGTTGGTGGTGGTGCATGGCCAGGAAACTGAATCACTGGTGGTCCCTTTGATAGCAAGGTGCAAATAAAAAATAATACAATCACACTTTCATGTTCATTTGTTTTCCGACTGTAAATATTTCATGCTATTTAGATGCGTTTTTACGTCGCACAAAGATATGTGAATAAAAACATATTTAAAAAAAAGATGTAAGAAGTATCTGTAATAGTAAGAAAAAGTAAATACTCACTTGATAACCGTAACTCATCTTAGTTGACTTCTTGTAAAATGATCACTAGGCACAAAAATCTGTAATTAAATAATTATTATTCCAATTAAATAAAAAGCGTGATGTTTCGATGTTAATCTAATTGTAATAATTAACAAACCTAAGGATAAATAAAAGACGAAAAAAGGAAACTGTAAGGTTGGAAACGCCCAGTAAAGACGCACTTGTTATGAAACAATGACAAACAAATCGTATTTCTTCAAGCTTATATCGAAGTTATTTCTGTTGCACGAAAACGGTTTAGAACTGCTTAAGGTTTCGTAGAATTGTCGCACTCTATAAGTATCGGGAGATTTTATTTTTGTGACGTATTAGTAACGGGACTTGGAACCTAAGCAGATGTTACAAATCCGAATTCAAGAGAAACGATGTTTCATCGAAAGGTATACGTATAATGTAAGTACGTATACGCAGTCATGGGATTAGTGGGAAAGGATAAAAAGCAATCGTTTACCAGTTACTGACGTCACATCGAACTGACGTAGCGACAGCGAGTTAGACGGAAATGCCACGATCAAAGTACGCATGTGTGGTCTAGGCGCGTAAAATTCAAAATATTTTCATCAGCCGTCCAAAGCTGTTTTCACTTTTCTTTTATTTTGCCATGATAAAGATTAAATGTATCGTTCATTTTCTTTTTTTATGATTGTTAAAGTCATTAATATCCACGCACGCAAAGACATGATTCGCACAAAGCCAACATTATCTAACAACGAGTTTATTGCTTTCATGATATAGTATCTCCGCTTAATTAGAGTACGAGTAAATTGCAGGAAATTGCAGACTTGGTTTAACAATTTACACGTTGTGCTCGATACGCTTTCACAAAATTATGTTTATGTGTCGATAAAATCTGGCTAATATATATAAATATATTTATAGTTTGTAACATAAAGATTATAATAGTGCTTCGCTAATTGGCCACGGGTTGGGACTTCTGGCCAGTTATTAAAGGAGGTATAATCCTAGAAAATTCCAATTATCCTTGATGTTCAAAAATGTCGGTCAGTTAACGCAGCACTACTGTAAAATCTTCAATATCGAATATTTCAAAAAATTATAAAAAATGAATTTGCGTTTGTCCTGTGAATTTTCAAAGAAATATGTAATATACAATTATATTCGCTCGACACTGCGGTAATAGACTTTTTGATAATTTTAATATTCATTACAACGTTGTTAGACTAGATAATATTGTTACAGATGCGTGCAGCATTCTAAATTATTTTTCTTATTTATTTTGAGCAACAAGAGCGCGGAGAACTTAAACGTTTTGATAATGAAACATCGAGTTCCAATAATCAAGAACTAAAAAATATCTCTGTTTAACTTAGATTTTTTTTTTGTATATCACTTGCATTACTTTGGTAGGTTAATGTTGCATATTAAGATGAAGCTTCAAAAGGTCTATTAAAATTTCAAAATAACTTTTTAATTTCCATATTATACTCTACTTTCGACTTTAATCGTTGATCATTTAAAAGCCGTATAAATTAGCATTTCTTTGCGAGATTTGGTTACAGACCTTTTGAAACGCTTCGTTACATTTCATTTGTTTCCTATCTACGCATGCATTCGATATGAATTCACGTTCGACGATCGAAGTTCTTCCTGCCGCGAACTATCTATAATCTTACGATATTTCATACAATCCATTAAAAACCGGTGTGCATAATGTCTTCCTTTATCGACGTTTTCTTTTTTTCATTTAAGACTGACTAATTTCATAATACATTATATTATACACGTAGGCAATCTCCTTAAAAGTAACACAAAATAATATGAACTAATAATATTAAGGATCCTAACTATAAAAACAGAACGTTAAAATATTAAGGTTTCCTATTTGCTATTTCGCAAAACACTTTGTATTTGTTCGTTGTTTCATAAGACAAAAATATATTACGCTGTTATAGAAATATACTATAAAACAATATTTGTACAACAACGATAAGTATAAAAGGTAACTTGCATTTATTCTGTTTCACTAAAGATTTGATGAACGCTATTCACTGTGGAATTCTAAAAAAAATTGATCCGTTGAACACATATCAAATTTAGGGTACCTACACAGAAAACAAACAACTTGCAAGGCGAAACGGAAGATAATGCAAGAAGTTGTATATACTGAACAGTAAAGATCTTTCTTTCTCATAGTTCTCTTAGTTTTATCGTAACTCAATCGAATTACTTTTCTCGCGCTAATTGGTCTTTACCCTATGCATTATATATTATTCATTACAACTAAAATTAATACGTTAATATGTAAAATAACGCTCTATACTCTATGCTATACAGAAACATACCACTGCAACAAAGTTTAGTTAGTTCCCATTTTCTTCGCACATTAGCTTCTTTTAAAAATTTTGAGTTATAAAGAAAGCTATATTTTGTTTCAAATCTATCAGTCGCTCAAGATTAAATAATCTACATAAGATGGAATAACATGAAATAATCTAATATGATTCTATCGTAGATCATAATTCCACTTTACAGTCTGTTCAAGAAAACAGCAACGTAAAAAGATAGCCTATATAGTGTCTTTTTATAACAAGGGAAATAACTTTGTTCAACCAGTCAATCAATAAAAAACCAGAAAAGAAGATCATTGCTACGCCAATCGTACTTTACAATACTTCAGGCACTGAATCACTTTGTTTGTCGTACTTATTAATGATTAAAATCAGATCGAACTCGGAAGTGCAATCGTAGTCAGACTACATCATACTATTTGTTGTTTCAGTTTAACTAGGTTCGTTTCACCATATAGTTTCATATCAAGGGGCACACTTGGTTCATTCTTTTTTGTTTGCGTGTGCCAAGCGAGCACCTTGGTGCAGTTGTCGGCCAAGAATTCGATGTCCTTTGGTTCGAATGGCGCCAAACTTTTCAGAAAACCGTCTTCCTCGTAACCAGCCTTAAACGGCATCGATGCATTTGGCCTCTGAAGTAGAAACTTCACGCTTACCGCGAAACCTGCCATATCGACCGGGAATTTTCGTCCAGCGATCCAACCGTCGTAAAATCCAACGAACTTCTCGTTTTTAATGATGGGAGAACTTAAACCAAATTTGGTGCATAATCCAACGGGGAACATGGAGACTCGTTTCGTTTTACGGATCTAAAATACATAATTGCATTTCTGATTCTTACAATAATATTTTGAACTAACTGTGACCGTGATAACTAAATTACCAGAAGTAATATACAATTTTGTGCATTGCTTTAAATCAGCAATACTCGCTCTACGTAAATTAGAAAGAATTATATGCTCGCAGAAATAATACCTCGTCAAAAAGAGTTATGTCATAGGTATTATCGTCATCAGCAAAATAAAAAACGCCATTGGTCGCATTCGCTCTGATCCATTGCAAGCCACGATTTCGATTAGATACGCCTCGTGGTTTGGCACCCTTTTTCTGCTTATACTTCTCAGGCATTGGAGCTGGAAAAGAAAACGCAAAAGCGTCCGTGTGAGGCAACATCGTCGAATTCTGTGTCACGATCCAATATAAATTAGCTTATGCAAAGGCCGACATGATACCCCGTTTGGGAGAATCGGCCATTACAACTACATATTCAAACACAGACCGGCCTGGCCAACAAAATCGATATAACGCTTTTTCATCGAGAGCTTTGCGGCTGTTTCAATTAATTCCCGACGAGACGGCAGTCGATCAACGAAATTAATTCTCACCGGAACTATTTACAGCGCGCGTGTCGACTCGATGGCGGGATATTTTGAAAAGACTGGAAATTACTTCTTTCGATCATGTCAATAAATGATATATATGAACAAATACAAAAATAACACGATCTTTAATTTTGACGGTTAGTGACGTATGACTAACGAATTACAACGATATAATACGTAATGTAAATAATTAATATATCGTTGTTCCAATCAACATCATTATGAATCGCCCAGTTACATTACGTTTTTATCACTCTGTAACGATGTCGTTACGAGAAACTCGACCGAAATACGTTTAACTTGGTACAAAGCGACGCGAAGAACATTTTTCCTAGGACAGAATAATTATCTCGAAAGACGCTTGAAACAGAGAAAGGAAATGGAGAATGTATGGTTGAATAGCCGACAGATTTCGCCCAGGCTAACGATTGATATCATTTAGTCGTAGCTCCGTTTAAATTCCGTTCTAATTTCTAATCTATTGGATTTACCCGTCAGATGCTCGAACTTCAATCCTGTTCGCTCCAGCAGCCTCGTGACTTGTTTGGTAGCAACGGTCGCGTCCTCGATAACGAGCCAGTAAATGTTCTTTACCAACATCAAAGTATGCGACATCCTGGTGAGCTCGGGTATTTGTTCTGGTCGGCGATACGTCGGCGTGATTATGTACAGCGGTTCCGGTGTTTTGTTCAACTTCATCGACGATTCTTGCTGTTCGTTCGATGTGGCGTTTCGACTAGGTTCGAATCGCGCGATCTTCGAATTGTTCTCGCCCAGCTCGAAGATATTCTTGTGCAAATGATTTATTAGCTGTTGCACTAACATCGACGCTATGTCTGGACTAAGTCCGTTAATCTCTTGAACTCTGCGCACAGCGCTTTTGATCTACAAATAGAAGGACTGTGTTTTAAACGAGCGATTAAACGAACCCGAGGCGAAGCTTTCATCTTCCAAAGTTTACCATTTCTTCGCTGAATTTCGACGTCCTTACGTAGCGTTCTACCTCTTCCTGGGATAGAACGGCACCATCTTCCGCGGATCCACCCGTGTTAAAGTCACTTATCTGATCGAATCTCACACTGGTAGACAAATGATATTGGTAGAACACCACGAACAGACCTATTATGGCTACCACACCCATTTTCATGGATGACTTCATTATACCAAAACCTGCGAACAAAAATTACCATTTATATACAATAAATTTATATAGAATATTTTATTTGAATTAATACAACTAATAAGCCAAGTACTCTGAATCTCGTATAGGATTAGAGAATCGTACAAGCACGAAAGAGATAGTTATATAATTACTTAATGGCTATCGTAAATTGATCGTGAGTTTTGTAACGCTAATTTATTAGCTGTTCGGAAGGTCTCGAGCATCTAGATAACGAAGTCGTTCAGTCTTCGTTTTTCTCGCTTCACTGTCTTTCGTTTCTTCTTCTTTTTTTTTTTTTTTCGATCAACATGTTTTGCAAATGAACGAGCTCGTAAAATTAGGGAGTGTGTACACTGTCGTATACCAAAGCCGTTATAAAGGGGAAACGATAAGATATATGTTTCCGGTGATACGCATGCTCTTTTATGCATACATGATTTTCAAAAGTCATTACGTTTTATTAATTTCAACATAGGCCAGGAATACGTGATACATCGTAAGTGTTTGTGATCTTCTATCGGCAATTATCGGGCTGCAACGTCCAGTTGCGCGTTATCAAGAATGAAAATCACCGTAGCTTACCGTTTCGCTCGAAGAGTAATGCATCATGATACGTTAAGGAACCGACAGCGAATGCAATTCTATTTCGCGAAATCATCTCGGCGATGGTATTTCCGATCGATTCGTTTCTACTTTCGCAGGCGATTCAAAATTGAGAAATAAATGAATAATGAGAATCGACAATATCTTTGAATAAACGTTCCATTCGAAAAACTGTCTTCACGTGTATTCATATATGTTCTATTTATCGGTAATATCTTCTTCTCTCTAGATGCACCATTCTTCGATTAGTTTAGTTCAAGTTGCGTGAAACTTACTTCGGTTTATTAATTCGTTACAAATCGAACCGATGTTTCGGTTTAATGCTTGGTATTTAAGTAAATTCGCGAACACGTCGTGGGTTCTCCAAGAGGTTGTTTCGATACGGATTCGACGGATACTTAACGTCGACACGAATGTACAGATTTTCAATCGTCGATACAAATGTAATTCCTTAACTGAATTACCTACTGCGGTTTTTTAAATATCGTGAAAAATTTCAAGGACGTAACTTATCTCTATGAACAAATAATAAACTGACGAACGTCACGCACAACATCCGAGTAATTTATTACCACGTGTTAAACATATCGATCAACATTTTCATTCTAAACACAGAAACGATCGTCATCTTATTCCTAGTCGATAGAAATCTGTATAAATGTATCCGCGCGACTAAAAGAGAAAAAAGGTAAAACAGAGACACTTACGATTGAACAGATCCGATACACATCAATCGATTTAGCAACTGACATACCTTTACGCAAGTGTTCATTCAATTCTTATATGATTCGATAAACTAATCTATTCGTTTTTATGACGATAACCTGTGTTTTCTAGAATTTAGCAAAGAAAAGAACTTACGTATCTATAATATTTTAGTTACTCGGTTAGTGTTAGTAAGATTAAACTTTGATAACGTTGGTACATATTTGTACGTTACTGTCTCTTTCGTATGGTCGATTGATTTATATTTTCTATATCTCTTATAAACGGTGTATAATTTAATAAAGGAAACGAAATAAAAGAAGTTAATGCAATGGAAGAGAATGTCTTTGCGACGATTGGCGATAGTAAAGTAGACGTTTCGCACGAAACAAGTCGGAATTGTATCTTGTATCACCTGACCGTCTTACACTCGGCAAAATGATACAGAAACAAGCGTAAATATAAAAACTTCTGTTTCTTATTGCAAGTACGTGGATGATGGCGAAAGCGTTGATCAAATATTTATAATTACGCTCGATTGAAGATAACATTGACAAAAGAGGAATAAAAAAAAAAGTAAAGAAATTCGATATTCGTGTGATACGATTGGAAATGCACCGAGGCTGAAATAATCCGATAAATTACGTATATTTCCACTAATTGTGTTTAATTACTACGGCGAAGAACCGTAGGCCTTGTCTGTTTTCGTCCAAAGTTTCGTTTAACTATCATTTAAATTTCTAAAATAATGTTCGATCGTTTCGTTGGAAAGAAACAGAAATAGAGGAAATATTATTGGTATTTTTACACCGTTGAACGAAGTGCGTCGAATTTTATGGTTGTGCGATTATTTGAGAAGTAAAATTGAAATGGATTATATACATATTATTACATATAGTTAATAATATCAGCTCGGGAACTATTTAAAATAAACAATGTGTAAAATATATTAGACATATTGAATACAACGTAGAGCAACTATATTTAATTCGAGCCCAGAGTGAATTGAGTGAAATGTAAAATAATCGCACATAGGCCCGTCACCATTATTCCTTGATGCAATATCAAAGATAGTTTCGATGAAAGCGCGCGTTTATTTCACTATGCAGAACCGCAAATTTGCCACGAGAACGAGAATAATCTTCACGCACGGAATTCCATACAATTTCATCTGCAAGATAAATTACGCTCCGTTGCTGCTTCCACGGAATTTGCGGAACGAGTACATTTTTTAAACGTTAAGTTTTCTTCAGCGCGTTGTTGCTGATTGTTGTGTATGATTAATCGATCAAAGATAGTTTCTCTTTCATTCAGAGTTTTGCCATTTAATCTAAACTTTTGGTCTTGCAATACATAAGCTGTATAGAATACAAAAACTGCTCGAACTGGAATTTTTTAGTTGAAAAATTATTCAACCATTCGTCCGATAAAATATGCATGTCTACGTTTTCGAGGCTGAAGAATTTATCATCTACTCGTTCATAATATATCTCACGAGTTAATTGTTTTTTCAAACATTCTTTTCGTAACTTTGTTTGTTCAAACAATCGATGAATTATCGACGACTATATTTCATCGTTACGCTGAATTACTTTTTCTCGAGCCCGAAAGTAATACGGAGCAGCTTCAACCACACTGGATAACAAAAAAGTTTTCACCAAGTTTGAACCAAAATTTCTTCTTCTCCGTGTTATCAGCCACTAACTCGAACGATCCCATGCGGGCATATGTGTTTGTAAATATATATAATCTGTGTGTTCTTTACCACCTGGAATTTCATTTATCAAATTATCCTCGAATATAATAAAAATAAATATATAGATCGGATTGTTCGAACTCAGATACATAGAAATAGTTTTACCATGCATGTACGAATAGATATACCAAAATATAATGATGTATTATATTATCGTTATTATTAAATGTATTATTAAAATTATTAAACGTATTATTAAACGCGATATAAGTTTATCAGAACGACTGCGCCTGTATGTATCGAAACCCAAATAGTCGATCGACCTGCAGAATATATTTCACGTTAATAACGATACAATTAATATGTGTAATTAAATTGATCGTAAAGAGTCCTGCGTGATTCTTGAAAAGTGGATAAGAATGCAAATAAATTAAAACGTGACAACAACTCGGGGCTTATAATATTACCGTTAAGTACCTTATATGTGAGCAGTTGGTCCAACGTAAGATGTCGATGCTCGGCAGTTCTACAAAAGCTATCAAATAAAGTGTAATATCAAGAAAATAAGAAAAAGAAAAATGAGAAAACATCTGTGTTGAAATAAAGACAGAGTGGAAATTGTAACGTGCGCGGCATTACATAATCAAATCAGAGGATTGCAAATAGTCTACTAAAGGATCGATTAGACTTAATTTAGCGCCATGACAGACGTACATCACTTGCTGCAGTATCAACTTCGGCCATATATGTAGGTCACAAAAAGCTGCAATTCACCAACCCTTTGTTAACCCTTTCAATTTAGTGGCGCCACTTTAATGGCACCGGCGAATTTTCCTCTGCTTTTGAATGAAATCGTGCCTTTTCTTTTAATCAAAGAACTCCATCTATGTTCAATGTATGTTTCGAACGTTTCTAACTCAGTTTCCCCTCCTTTTCTAGCCGGTAATAAGCAGCAAAGTTACCGACACGCAAAATCAAAGTAGTTCGGTGGTTATAACCTCATCGCCTGGTTAACCCTCGGACACCGGGCCATGGGCTACTTTGTTTGGGTTAATTCTAACTTGTATGTAATTTTTTCAAATAATTCGCAAAAATAGGAAAACAAAAACGTATGTATCGATCAAAATCAAGTATGGAACAACAAAATATATTGCGTGGACCGTTAAAAATACATTCCTTTACTTTTCTCCAGTAGTCAGATCTCGTATGAGTCAACCATAGCCGGACAAAACGTACGAATAAGCCTGGATTCTTATATACTACTTTTTAGTTATCAAAATTAGTTGTGCGAGCGTTAAACTTGGTTTTAATTTAATAATATTTAATCAATAAACTTCAAAGCATTTTCTCGAAAGTCCTCTTTCCACTTGATTTCTGTAGACTAACATGAACTTTCACGATCGACTAATTCATCTTCGATATTAGTATCGATCTAACGAACCATGAATGCCCCCTATTCAATCGAGACAATTAAAACTTACCTGATAAACGGTGTTCATGCTCCGCTCACGAGTAGTAATTGTTCTGCTTCTCGTTTATGTAACTTGTATAGAATTCGGCTTATCGCACATGTCAAATGTTCGCGCGTTTTTTTTACAAGACGAAAAACAATGGCACGGTAGCTATGTTACTGATATCGTTTAGTAACATTATTGATGGGACGTGGGGAGTCCCGATTGAAATTCGACACTACTGATTTTCCTGCATACGTATGTTCCGTGATTGTTTCACCGTACCATGCATTCGTGCATCGAATTTAATGCGCTCGATAAAGGGAACAGTATAAACGACGTTGTTTTCTCATAATTTTTACCAACAAATTTCGTCTATATTTTCACAACGAATTCGCAAGTTTCGAATATAGTTGTTGCTACAAGGAGAAGATCCATTTAACAACTGCGACGGACTCCATCGATGCGCGATGATGTTTCACCGAATCGCGCTCGTTTCCCTGCGCGATGCAGATAGACTGACAAACGATCACGAGGCTTTCACGGCACGTGAATAACTAAGGGGATAATCAAGAGATTGCTGTCTTCGGTTGAGTTTCATAAATTTTCATGATATCACGACTACGTTCGAAAGACCGGGTGACGGAAGCACGTTGTCACTGACATGATTCAGAAAAAGAACGCCTTTCATTAGAACGTATCACTGATCTCTGCTTTCACTCTAATCTTGTAACACTTTGATAGTTTGGCAAATGTATTTTTAGCGAAGAGTCTTGAGCCGCTTCGAAATTTTGGCCACATGTCGTGTGTCTCGAACGAGAACTGATCGTTTTGAAGTCGACCACAAACCGACTGGATGTTCGTGACGACGTCGAACCCTAGTCGATTGTTTCATTAATCACGTGCCTGTCCACCGTACGTTTCATTCGTGTTCTGTCAGCGAAAAGCGGAAACAGCATAGTTGACGGAGAATTCGATCGAACAACGACAAAACGACACTCCTCCGTCGGCTGATACTGAACTGTTCCTTCGTCGCATTCCCCTTGTGCGATCCGTCTACGTTCGCATATCCCCACTATTTCGTTTCAGCTGGCGCAGCAGCCGACACGCCGCCGTCACTGCTCTTATATGTGTACATATATACATTATACATATACATCTATCTATCTATATATACACATGTATGTATGTATGTATATATAATACATATGTATATCGCGATATATATGCGCGCTGCACTGAATCACGTGGGAGAATGTACTTATTTGACGCAGAGTAGGTGTTTTTATCGATCTTTGAAACATCCGCGTGGTGACTGTTTCGGATCGAGCGATCAGATGGTCAATTGAATTTTGGTATCAGTTTTCCAATACATCCTCTACCTTTGTCGCCTTAATAAGTACAACTACCATACCCAATAGTCAAAATGACGAACTATGAATTTATTTTTACAATTATCAAAAACATGTAAGTGCCTTTGGCAAAATGAACTTTAGTTTTATTCAGATATGAGTATAATTACGTACATCCATTTACATCTATTATACCATTGTAATTATAATCGTCTATATACAGGTTTATGACGTTTACTACTTGCAATGAAAATTGTACAATTTTAAAATGCACTATCGAAGTTTATCGAAGATAAGTTATCGAAAAAGTGTTAAATCCTGTGTCTCCTCGATAAAAAATAATAACATCGATAGATTATACATCATAAATAACAAATATATAAATCAAACTATAGATTAGATTGAATATAAATCTCTATCTGTAAGTAATCGTCATACATGATAAGTACATTATTTACAATGTAAAATAGCTTTTTTTCTTAAATCCTTACGGCAAGTTCTAATTTCTTTGACTTTATTTCTCTTGATTACAAATTCTCGCGAATCCTTACCAACTACGATGGAAAGTTAATTTAGAAATGTAATCTCCGTCAAATGAAAAACATTGTGATGCAACTATCTGGATTAAACGTGGAGTTACATTACAAGCTATTGTTTAAGTGGGGAAATATGTTTTGTTGGGTACGATACAACGTGACTCAACTAAACATTCGCCGATTGACTACGATAGCGACTGGCATTCGAGGGTTAAGTTCATATATCGATTAAGCAAAAATATAGATCGATCCTCGAACGGATAAATCTTTCAAGATATACCGATTCCAACTCTTAAGTTTAATCTATGACGTATTTAATGAAGCAAATAGATCGACCGGTTTTGTTACCATCACAAAAATGTAATGAAAGAGTGAGAGAAAATTTATTTGGCGGATTAATGAATCGGTTTTTAAAGCACTTTTTCGATCAAGTTGTTTAAACAAATTAGTTGCTCGTTATTGTTTGTATACATTGACAAAGTAAACTCAATACGAATTTTCCCCAATGTTTTTAACTCAACGGCCCCATAACAAGTGGAATCGCTCGATAACCATGCTCAACAGACACCATGCGGTAGTCTCTCTCTCTCCGAGTATCGTCGTTTCCACTACCTCTCACCTCGTCTTTCAGCGACCGGAGTATTGATCCAACCTGGCAATACTTATACACTATACACACGGTAGTGTGTAGTATTGTAAATGGCCACGGTTGCCTACGAATCTCGAGAGGGACTTGTAAACGATGTTGTCCGAACTTCCTTGTGTTTTTGGTCGTATCCTGCACTCGTTGCGGTTAAAATGCATAATGCAAGAATTACGTGTTCAATTGTCAAGCGTTGTTGCGTGAAATACGTATGAAGAGAGGAATGAAGGAAAAGAGGAAAAGAGAAGCACACAGTAAAGTCCAGCCATGACCTACACAGAAACGAACCATTTTATAAATTTAGAAAGTAGGTACTTTCGGCTTTTGCATTACCTAATCAGCAGAGTTCGAATGAGTTCGCGTGTAAATTCGATTATTAACGATCTAAAATAGAGCATGGAACTTTTATTAGCGTGCAGAATTAGGAAGAAAACGCTTGTTTAATTATCTGTATTTCTTACAATGCCTGTCACTGATTTTTATCGGCAGATGAGATAGGTTAGGAGAACAATAGAGATACGACATTTTTAAAGGAATCTCTTATCACGCAATTTTAACAATATATATTAGAATTGTTTATTTCTTTAAATAGGTGAACGTCGTATCCGTGTTCAAAGAATGTTGCAACATTGAAATATGGACATATTATGTAAATTACGTAATAAGTAGTTATAGAATGAAACGTATGATTTTACGTTGACTTAAATGTAGTCGTTTCTACGTCAACATTTAAAAAGTAGAACGACTGGTTTCAGTGGGTAGTTTAGAAGTTGGCTCGTGTCTTTGACAACGAACGTGGAATTTGCTCAGCCCTCGGAACTATATATAACATATAATTTTCGAATAGGTAATATAATAATGTACAGTTTCATTATTTGTAAAATAAAATATCTCGATAACCGAATGAATATAGCTCCGGATTTCTGTCAAAGATATCCTAGTGTCGATTGTACGTATTTTTTAAATAAAAAATTTAATGTTTATATAACTATTAATAAGGGTTCTAATTATTCATGTATGAATTTCATTTTAATACCATTGAGATATTAACGAAGGACAGTGACAAGTAAAAAAAGAGAACAGGAAAGGATTCTATAGCTATTCTACTGCGTTAATTTAACAACGTATCTTGGTAAATGAAAAATGCAAATCATACTTTCATACAGTGCGAAACGTGGATTATTTAAAAAAAAAGAAATATGTACTTAGTAACAACGCGCGTTGATGCAACTTCATTAGCGCGTTCTACTGCGTTCACGACAATGGTACTTCTCTTCAGTCTTTAAGGTGCACAATGCTGCGAATTTAATACAACAAAGTATTATATTAAAGCTAGATTATCGATCGCACTCAGTGGATCCACTTTAATTCTCCTCATTCGATGATTTGCTGAAATACGATCTTCTACGTAGGTATTGTCTAAAAAGTGCATGTTCGATTCTAACATTTTTCCTATTCAGTTATCAAACAAATAGTCGTTTGATCATCGATCGATCAAAACAGGCTATTTCACAGAATCTGACAAGCTTATCGATTTAATCGTATCAGTCATATCACGCAAGCGCGTCTTCTTGCTCATTTACGTGATTTGACACGCGATATTGCCATCACAATTCGACGTTAGACCCGCTACGACGAACATAGCGATTGAAGTAATCGGGACGCCAACACTTGCAGCTTCCTGGCACCAGGAACCAATCGTAGTACAATCTTACCTGTATCGCATACAAAACGGGGTCAGGAAACTGTTAAACAAAATTTTCACTTGGAACATTTTAAATCGTCCGATTACCTGGAAACAACCCATTTCGTCGACACCGTCGCAATGATGCTGGGACGATCCGCTGTTGCGAGCTTCATTCTCCCCGGCACGTTTCTGTAAATATTGTTGATAATTCTGGAAATCGTGAACAGGCGGCGGTGAACCGGCAGTATCCCTCAGGCCGTTGATTCTAGAATTTTGATTTTCTTCCAAAAACGTGTCAGGATAGAAGATCTCTGCTACTAGCAAACTAGTCCATCTTGGCGACGACAGACAGCCACCATCCAAGTAATGACATCTTGATTGCCTGTGAAAGATCGATTAATATTAAAAATCGCTCGACGATAATAATTGCTTACGATAATTGCATATGCTCTGTCATATTACATGCATCGGGTTACTTCGATAGTCTGAGTGAAGTAACCCTCGTAAGGGATTTGCACCACGTAGCGCCAAACTCCTTGATAGTTCTTGGCGAACACTGGTGTAGCGTACTCCACTTTAGCTGGACAAGGAGTGGGTGGACCGGTGTATTCTGGCTTCTCTTGTGGCGGTGTTCGTTGACGGTACTCAGGGGTGGAAGGCTCGTCACGGCGTTCAGCTGCTGAGGTAGCCAATGGTTCACCTTGTATAGCCTTGTACAGCATGCAAACTCTTTGGCGTAAAACAGAAATTATAGTTCAAAATTCAAACTTGTATTTTTGAAAATAATCCGTTTAGCGACTTACACTCCTCCGCCATTTTCGCAGAATTTACGACCGTTTCTGAGAGTATCCAAGGCGCTTTCTGAATCGGACGATCGCTTGCTTCTACTTCCTTTCTCGTCGGTGTCGACACTGTCGATATTAGGAAAAAAAGTACATTTTACAAAACGACAATCCAACGATAGATTTACGTTTCTATATAATTACTAACGAATTCTGGAAATAGGATTGCACCGTGGCGACCTTCGGCAATGAATCGTCAGCCTTGAGTATAGGCAACGCTTTGCTTAGAAATTTCAACGTGTGATTTTTCAACAGCGCGCTATAAGAAAAAATGAGAAAGGATATGAAATCACGGTTAGAATTTATCATGACATTTCATCATATAGATAATTTTGTTACACTTACAAAGGATACGACGAGCCATTGAAATACTGATTCATAGGATTTCGAGGGATATAACCCTTGTTAAGATCCCCGCAAATATTGTGTATGGAAACGTAACCCTTTCCCTGTTTACCGGTGTCTAGAATCATTCATGTACGTTTATTTGGAAGTAGCAGAGAGAATAATTTGTATTCCTTCTTTGCTGACGCATGATATTAAAGTGGCACAACTTTGAAATGCGTACCATAGCATTCTTTGTCGCTATCTATATAAGGTGGCGGCCTCACTTTAGGCGGTTCTGCGTTCGGTGACTTCACGAAGGCGTAATATCCTTCTGGAGGTTCGTTAGATTCTGTCGTCGAATCGACGTCATTTGGTTTCGATTGTTTCGTGTCCGAATATTCATTTGCGTGACACAAAATGCATAAAAGTACCATCTACGAAATTCACACATGATAAGTACAATACCCCTAACCTCTTTCGCACAAATATTTACACTGGTTCTCTTTATTTACGACATTGCTTAATCACAATAATCATCTTTTTATGCCGTTTGTGAAATTAAATTATATAATCATTGTTATACATTGATTTCCTCTATTTTACCTTTTCGTCTGGATCGCGTATTTATCAGTGTCTCAAAACTACGAAACTTCATTCGACTTAATCGTTATTGTAGCTTAATTAAAATCTTAACTCAAAGCAAACAGACGGTTCGTGCCAACATTTCATAGATCCAACAAGTTGGCTACAACAGAAGGGAAGCTTTATTCGAATGGAAGCCAGGATCAACGAAATACAAACAACAAGTTGTTTGAACTAGCTTGTCGATGATCCTTCGTCTCTACGCGTTTCGGTCTTACAAGGTATTCCCCGTTAGTAAGATACCGACGTGTATCGTATTCGGCCTTAACGGTACTCGGTCCACGCTCCGCGGACTATTAATACCCCGAGACTATAGTCTTGTATACTGACTGCCCCACTAAGCGTGCACGTTCGCCAGCCGTTACATTCTTTCGGCTGTTTAACCTTCAGGAATTTCGAGGATAAAAATCGTCATGTGGAACTATCAGAGGATATTTCGTTAATCGTGTAAGCTACCATAGATCATTTATTTTGCTGCCTCTTTAACTACACATTTGTACAGATTCACAGAATGATTATTCGTTTGACCAAGAAAATTGTGATAATCGAATCGACGAGAAATTTGGTTGCCCAAAAGGTTTTTTCAAATTTCTACGCACACTGTACTATTTGTATCATTATTATATGTAAGCTGCGGATGTTTATGCGGATTCATATCTTTATAAACGTCGATAAAGGAATGAAACTTCTTTATAAGAAAAAATGATTTATACTTTAAGTGCGAATATTCTCAAGAAATATATTATGAAATTACTTGAAAGATTATGGAGGAAAGATAATTGTTAAGTAAAATATCTAATACTACATTATCCAGACGCTAAGGTTTGTATCTGAGACATGCATGAAATCTACCTTTAAATTTCTTTAATAATATACCTAACCTAACCTAACCCCAACCTAACCCAATACATATACAGGGTGGTTGGTAACTGGTGGTACAAGCGGAAAGGGAGTGATTCTACGCGAAAAAAAGAAGTCGAAAATATAGAATAAAAATGTTTCGTTCGAGGCTTCGTTTTCGAGAAAATCGACTTTGAATTTTCGCTCGGTACGCGTGCGGTAAGTTATAACGGATCTCACTGTAGATCGTTGCCTCGATGGAAAAATTAAAAAAAAAGAAAAAAATTTTTTTTAAATATTTTTATTCTATATTTTCGACTTCTTTTTTCACGTAGAATCACTTTCTTTCCGCTTGTATCACTAGTTACCAACCACCCTGTATATAGTATTTTTGTGGTTGTTATTATCAAGAGTACATTTATTGGCTGTATCGTATGTTTTATCAGGAAAATAATACCGAATTAAAATTTCTGTGAACGAGTAGCATTTTCTTTCTATTATTTATCTGTTCTAATGCCTAGGGCACGATTAGGAAAGGTAGGATGCCAGTCCCCTGTCATTCGGTATGGATATGACAGGCAAAATTTGTATTCATAATTCGTGTCAAATTAGTCTATGGTGATGCTTTGTATGATTGTTAATCGAAATATTTACTCCATTCTCAGAATTGGAAAAATATTGTTTCAGCAAGAGTTACATAGTTTTGAGAGAGACATATGGTTGAAAAGATCTTAGGTTTCTATTTTGTTTAATAGGTTATGTACTACTTTCTCCTTAGTTGGTGACAACTCTCAAAAGCAAGTTTTAATGATAAACTAATAAAATGAGATAAAAGTCATCGTTAGATTCCGTTACGATTTCCGTTGGTTTTGAAAATTTTGTTCATTGTAAAGTAAAATCATAAATCATTTTCAGAATGCCAAGGCAAGGTATCAGTCAGATTTGTGATTATTTAAATCGCGTTCGATTAACATTTGACATTCCATTGACAAGAGGCGATATTAAAAAAAGATGTAAAAGTATACTTTTCCCGCCATGACATTTATTACGCATTTGTGTAACGGTATTACTTTATACCGGTTCCCTGCGATTACTGAATGCGGGACATTTCTATAATAAGCATCGACTAACGTGAAGGTATTGAATTTATTGAACCTTTTCCGCTACAGTTCATCTAGAATGCGCACCGATCGAGTATATTTGGCGCTTGATTCCATAGAAATTGTAATCAGTTATACTTGTACGAGATCAGTTTTGAGAAGAAGCGATTTAAAAAATATTATGGTTCTATATTCACTTTTATATATAATTCGTTCCAAATTATTCATTCATTATACTTACATGAAAATAATTTATTATTAAGAAAGCAATAAGATAAAAATAATATGGTAACAATTCTTAGTGATTAAAAAATAAAAGTAAAAAAAGAAAAAGGAAGAGAAAGAAAATAACGATTACATTGTCAACTCACGATAAATGTTCGATATTCCATTGTAGTGTCGCTTTTTTTCTTCTTTGACAGGGAAACAAAATGTATTAAACTCAAAATAGGGGTTCTACCTCGGAGATGTCTCGTGACCAGTCGGCGGTCATAGCAAAACTGAACACATCGAACCCGTGCTATGGTATAAGGAGCCACCTGTCTTCGGTCCCGTACTCATCACCACCAAAGCCATCCACCATTCCACTTCAAATCACGCCCCAACGCACTTCAAAACTTAGTCATTACGTTTAGAATTTTTCGATATGCTTTAAAAATGCAAAGACGTTAAATTAAATTTTATAAACCCACAAAATTAAAAATTCGGAAATTCCAATTACAAATTTTTTTTAATTAAACGAATTTTTATATGTAATCTGTTAAACATAGACGAATCACTGTTGAATCATTATTAAAATTATAATTTCAATTTCCGCTTCTTACGAATATATAACTAGAAAAATTTTTTTTCTATATGTATATGTATAGTATAGTGTTCCTGTAATTAGAATAAGTAAAATTTATACCATGGCGCGCCGCGATCTATCGCGCATGCGTACGCGCGAGATATGCAAGATAGAAGTGACGATAGCTGGAAGTGATTCTGTGAGATAAAGATACGGACAGCTTATAAGCTATAGGTAACTACAGGTTATCAATGTTACTGTTACTCATCGCCATTTGTATATAACTGTCGCGACATTCCAATATAATCATTACTTTCCAGAAAGGATACAGTTTTTGAAAGGAATTTCTCTTGAAATCTGGATAAACAAATATGCACAACCATTCATATTATGATTATATAAATAAAGTAACTAGAAAATTTTATACTTACATTTAAATTTTCCAACACTTCTATAGTTTTATTTTGTTTTCCGCTGGTTACGAATATATTTGTGATTTAATAGTATGAACACAAAATCATAATTTCGACATTTATTTAATGTATTATAAATTTTCCATTTATTTTGTTGAAAAAGTATCACATCGTAATACTATACTCCGTTTTTTAATAGAACATTCTTACCAGTTTTCTTTTGAACCACTATTTTATAGCTACATGACTTGTTACATAGAAGAAAGATCTCATGAGGCGAGAGCAAAGCATTTCCGGAAATGCACGTCGCTATAGTAGTTGGTCAAGGCCATCGACTCATTGAACATCCTTCCATGGCAAGGGTACAAAGAGGAATGTGGAACGGCAACCTGTCGATCTACGCATTGGCGTATAAACCGTATTTTTTATTCTTCACGTGTTAATACGTTATGGTCATCCTAAAATTTTATAGTTACGCTTATCGTATTTAGGCGAATGATTACATATGAAATACCTGTCCTCTTCGAATTTTGGTTAAGTTCAACTTATACCGAAGTTTAACGATAAAATACATTGGAAAATGAATTTTTTTTAATTTCACGATTCGGAATCTATCTCACAACGTTATATATTTGGAAAAATCGTAGATATGAAAAAATTAAAGCGCAAAATTTGTAGCACGTTTCGTCGAAATTTAAACAAACGTGTTTACGACATTGGCGAACGAATGTATCAAGTTTACCGCTTGGAGCGCTGCAGGTCATTGATTCGTGACTCCATAATAGTTCTTGATGTTGGTTTAAAAAACGTCAACAATGACCTAATACTATATGAGCTCTAGAAAGTTTAACTGGTAATGTAGGAAATCCGTATACCGCGTCATGCTGCTCTCACATACTTAACCTTCATGACACAATGAAACTGAATTGCATGGATTTTCTATTGGGACTACATTAAGCGATATATGTATAATTTAACAAACTTAGAGAATTTACGATCAGTGTAAAAACCATCTACTATTACTATCATTCATATTTTGTATTTTGAAGATTAACTGTCAACCATCACAACCATCGCAATATTATATTCGTTTTCCTTTCTTTTTTTGTTTCAAAAAAATATAATCATAAATAAAATTACCGAATTATTTTCTCCAATTTTGTAATTCAAATAAAAATATAATATATAACTTACCAGCAAAAATAAGATACAACTAAATAACGAACGTTCTCGAGTCTTCTAGTATAACGATGTCGCCTTCTGCAGAAAATAGATGCATAGTAGAATTTGCTAATAAGAGCGGAAGGTATTATACAGAAAACAATTTGGACACTTGGTAGGATAGATGACATTTATTCCATTATTTTATTGTTATTACTTGCTACTTGAATGCTATACTCGTAATAGATATCTATAATTATGTCTATAATTATGCGTGAATTTAAAGAATACGTGAGGTCAGCCGCAAGATGTACAGCTCGTGTCAGTTACAATTGTCATAGTTATATAGGTAAATAATTATAGAAAGAAATTTACGTTTTTAATTCTGAATGCAAACATTCGTTAAAAGGGTTGGGAACGATGGCAGCTCATTGATTTCTGTTAATCTCTAGTTTTTCGCTATCGATCGATTTTATAATTTACACACACTTCGATTCTTTTTATCGCGGCTAGGATATTCTTCTGTTCCATTATTTTCCTCTTTTTTTCGTTTTAATACGTTTTTAAAAATTACTCGATCACTGTTTTCCTGCCAACCTAACACCCTTACTTATTATAAATTCCTAATTATCTTACGAAATCGTAACGCGCAATAATAGTACACGAGATATCATTTCTTTCTTTTCCTCTTACTTCTTCTCTAATCACGGCAAGTTCAACTCTCATTTTAAACAATATACAAATATCTTTTCTTATATATATCCTCTCGACATATCGATTAAACTCGTGATCTTTTACAACTTATTCTGCGCTAAAAACGATCAAATACAAACTATATACTTCTTTCGTCTGAAAGTTTTTGGTCTACATTTAACGCAACACATCCCTCTAAATTTTTTTTTACATTAAAATTTTGATCATAATACTTATCTATTCCATAAAAGAAAAAAAATCGTTTGCTATTTCGTTGGAACGAATCGCTATGGACGACGAACGAAATAACAGAAAAATCAAAAAAACCTCGTAAATTTTTGGTGACCATACAAAAAATGATCCCCATAAAAAAATTAAATATACATTAAAAGTAGACGCGCGAAACGTTCCGAAAAGTATTGAGATCCGAACGTGTCGTATCTTTAAATTCGGGTAAAAAAATATCACCATATATAATCCATCAACTTTTCCATTCTTCCGCTTTGCCATGAAATTCTTTCGCCCAGCTGTAACAATACACACAGATGATAACAAAATATATTTACCCGAATTCAAAAATTTCTTAACGATAAAAGGGCGGATGTCAATACAGTTTTGATGTTTCGCGCAATTAGCAGGAACACCGTATTCCGCTGTATATGTTATTTTAATCCGAATTGCACTCGACATTTTGTACAACTTATACATTTATATTTAATTACGCCGGAATAGTATACACGTGTGTGTATATACACGCCGCCATTCCCAGATTTGAGGCACGAACTAGGAGATAAACAGGCGAACGTAAAATTTATACACTTTATTCAATTTTCTTTACCCTTTGGACGAGTTACGATCGTACTTTATCGTGATTCTACGGTGACCAGGATTATTCCATCGAATGAGGATCGGATTTCAAACAACAAGTTAATTCCTGTTCCATCCTGTTATATAGTTACGTTCACGTTTGTCCGTTGCGCAATTCGCTGCTTTTACGCAGCTTCATATTTGCGAATGTCGCTTTTTATCAAGCGACAAACACGATACTATATGTGATAAAAAGAATTAACTCGCCTATGTACCGAATGCATAGTCGATGAAAGAGATATAGCGAGGCCGTAATTGTTAATAAATCTTTAACTAATTAATAATTAGTAATTAATAATTACCAATTTAAGGATTACTTAATCGTTATCTATTCATCGTCGTAAAACCGGATCTGATAAAAAATATTTATGTAATAAATAACGCAGCGGTATCTAAACTGTGTCTGCGATATATATTAGGAACAAGAAACAGTTCTACATTCATCCATGTCGAATTATTGTTTCACCTTGTTAAGACTTGACTGATTTTATTACCTCCCTGTATATGTTTCATCAACAGTAAGCACCTTCATTCAACGTGAACGTAACGTTGCTATTGCGAATACTGAAAAATTCAATGGTAAAAGAATGAAATCTATAGGAAAGAAAGGAAAAAAGAACAAATTCCATTGGCAGTTACATATAACTTGTTTTTTATCCGTAATCGACAAACGACGATCGTCTCGAATGAAAGTTCGTTTCGCGTGTACTATCGACGCACACTGGCCGGATTCCCACCATATCGGATTAAGTCCTAGGGGGAGTTTTAACAATGCGTTCTCTCGAGAACCGTTTCGTCGGGTTCCCCTCGTTCGGACACAGATAATACAAGCGAATTCTCGCGAATTCCCTAATAACCGAGTGTTCGATTTCTTTTTTCGAAATAATGTTATTGCAGCCTTTCAGTACTGTGCGCTTCTCGAGTTAAATAAAGATTTGATCCAATTGTGCACAACACAATCGAGACTGCAACGTCTGTGCAACTGTTAACAATGCCCGTGAAGTCCTCCCTAAACGCAAATGTACCGATGTGAACAACGCTATCGATGCAATCGCTTGACGTTGCATCGCATTAGTCAATTTTTCGACACTCGATATCATATCGTTTCGCACGTTCCCGCCTTGCTATGTACAGTAGTGCTTCGCTAATTGCCCGCGGCTCGACATTTTAGCTGATCAGTTATCGAAAGAGGTATATGCCTAGGATATTTCGAGAATCTCTCTTCTCTACAAATGAGATATGGAAACCTGATACATACACTGATTTATTTTACGTAAGTAATACCAGAAACCTGTGATAAGTTGTCAAGCACATCAAATCGCGTCAAATGCATGCACGTAATGAAAGATTGGAATAACCTCAAATAGGATTCGATGCCCTAAAATTCGGGTGTTTTTTAAGTCTTAGAAGTCTCGTCGGTCTTGGATATTTTGATAAATCTTGAAAGCTTGGCGCGTAGTCGATATTTCACAAGCATTTTAAATGCCTTAATCTAAACGGTCAATTAAAAAAAAAAAACCAGTCGAGGTAACAAAAATGCATTTACGGGAACGATTTACAACGCTTTCACGAGGTTAGGTTATCGAATCTTATTCGTTGTGATTCGAATTTTAAGAGTATTGAGGAGCACCAAACTCTTCTCGATAATATCAGTTTCGAGAATCGGTGAGGATAGGCGACGGGCAGTTGACGAAGCAAAATCTTGGTTAGTTAACGTGGCACTATTGTACATACTATACACAGAGCACGTTGAACGATCGATAAACCTAACGTACCTAGTTTCTTACTCCCTCTTGTAAATAAATTAAGAAGTCACTTTTTCTTCGTCTCACGCACACGATAATATCGATACCATTGACCACTCTAACACTAGCATCTATCGGGACCCCTTTTAAAATCGCATTCTTTGTATTGACAGAAAAAGAGCACAAAGGCGTTGCGTTCTCGTGGATCTTTTCTCGGGTATATGTATGTATATAACTTCATGGAAGATATCGATGCTTCTTTTCTCGGAAGGAATAGCCGACAGATCGACCGTAGAACGATGCCACAATAACGAGTACAGGTATTATGCTACCAATACTCGCAAATTGCTGCGCTGACGTACAATCTTACGCGGGATCGATCGATCGTTCCAAAAAAAAAAAAAAAAAAAAAAAAAAAAATTTAACAAGCATTTACGTCTACAAATATTTCACCATATACGTACAACGTATATTATAAAGTTTTAAACGATGTTATAAGATTTGAAATTGTTACAACAAAACGTAGATGACATTTTGTGAAAAGATCTTATTTTGAATAGAAATTATAAAATCTTTTTATTTGTAACACGACCCAAGCTATAGCTCTCAATAATGTATCATCTCAAAACTTATTACGTTAAAGTGACGATAGGTTTTCTTTTCAAACAGAATCATGAAGTTTGTCGTATCAAAGATATCCGTATCGATCGATCTCGTTTCGAGAACAGTTTCGCAGAAGGCGCATGCGAAAAGTTTCGATTGTTCGAATGAAAATAGAGGAATCGTTTCGTCAACGTATGGAACCAACATTTGTATCGATATTAATTGAAATCAGTACAGAACGTACGTATAAAAGTGGTGTTCACTCGAGCCTACACTCGATGTGTGTACTACGATTGTTTGTTATTCTACCTTCGAACGGATATACGATAGTATAAGTATGTTGTGTAATGTTTCATTTAAAACGCTATCTTATCACAGTTACTTATGTTTTTTTTAATAATTTTATACACTGAAACTATTCGCTGTGCACAGACGATGTAGGAAACCGATGAAACGTCACTCAAGTATACTCCATAAAAACGTGTAAATAAAAACCGAAGGGTTCGAAGAAAGGGACAGAGAGAAGAGGAGAGATGACTACTACTTTCATATATAAAAACATCACATGTACCTCTTGAACCGTTTCTCGAACTGTACAAAAAATATACTTTTCTTTTAAGTTAGGGTCAATAAGGAAGCACTTATTATTTTCCTGTTCTTATTTCCGGAAACAAAATCAGGTTCCCTAAGAAAGAAGGAGACGACGTAGGAGTTTATAAGGGGGAAAAAAAAAAAAGAAAAGAAAAGACGACGTCGAAACGGGTCCACTTGTATGAATTGCAGACGGTAATGAGCAATTAGGCATTCGACTTTTCGTCGGCATGAAAAATCCAACTCGAGCGTGAGTATTGCTCGAAATGAGAAACATTCGAGTATGTTGGAACGTAATAGATTTCGTAATCTTAGAGAGCATACTCGAGGACGCTCGAAACATCTTGAGCCCGTGCTCACTTACAAAAACGGTGAGTATCATCGATTGACAATGATTTAAGATGATCGTGTATATTATATGGAGACATTTTGAAGAATGTACGTCAACGCGAAGTTACGAAAGATTTTACATGAAACGGTGCTCTCTTACTTTAAATGGTTAGATCCTTTCCGTGATCCGGATGAGGATGAAAAAATCTTGGGATGTGCCCCCCCTCACTTCGCAAAGGGAGAAAACGCTTCTACAATCTCTACGTAAATCTCGTGCACTTCTCTCACGGAGCTTAACCTTTTCTTTTTTCAATTTATCTTACTTTTTCCTTTCCTTTGTCTCTGCACACTGTTTTCAGTACCTCGATTCGAAGTTGCAGGGGGTTGGGGGGTTGGTGAAAGGAAGGAGATTATTGCGGAGTACAAGTGCAGTGAGGAGAATTCTGGATTTAAGGAAGAGAGAGAAAAAGAGAGAGAGAGAAAGAGGGGAATCGATTTGCGATTTGTTTTTCTTAAAACGTTAGTTTGGTCTCAGGGCCCAACGACTCGTGACGAGTTATTGTATATAATAATCGGGGTGATCTGAGTCCTTTTCAAACCTCTTCGCCTCTTCCTGCATGCTTTCCTTGATCTTGAGTATGGCCGCTGACTCAGTCTGATCCTGCGAATCAACCAACACCAGGTCGGTTACACGTAAGAGGTTAGGCAAGTCCACCATTAGGCGATACCTTGCCCATTTTGTTTTGGACTGGTTTCAGCGTTTCATCAGCGAGCTGAGAATACTTTTCCCCTTGATGTTTCAATATTCAAATCTCTGAATTTTTTAAGCAAATATTCCCTGGAAATGTAATTTCCTTTTCCAGCTTCTTGTTAAAATATAGAATCAACCGATTATAAAGTACATAAAGAGATTAATCGAACCCAGTCACGGTGAAGGTACTACAAAAAGAAATTCAGGTGACGGAGGAAAGTTCGTCGCAGTTCGCTGATCCCAAGTGAACTCTCGGGGAGAAAAACGCTGACATGCTGCGTAAGTGATTGCGCAGCGCGGTGACGGTGCGTCGTGAAGGGGCTGGGCTCGTGAAACGCAAAACTTAAAGAGAGGATATATATGAAAGAACTAGGAAGAGAAACTTGGTTTTGATTTTTTGGGAACCGCGAATGAAGAAGAGAGAAGTGTGGTTCCACATCTCCAGGGCGCTCTGACCCACAACACATGGACTTTATGTAAAAAAGAAGCCCGTATCGAGCACAAAAAGAAAAAAAAAACAGAAAAAACATTGAATAAAAAAAAAAAAAAGAAAAATACGGATGTATAAAAAAAATTTCTTGCGCATTCCGTGTGCGCTGCCTGCCCCCCACTCACGCACACCTCACCGAGTGAACCAACAATGAAAAATTCTTATTTAGAGATTAAGAAAAAATTGTAACATAGAAACTCGACGTGTCATTCCTCACGGATTCTTAAAATAATTTTTTTTTTTTTTCACTCTTTGCTTAATTGAAGTACTTTTTTTCGTTTGAATCGTTTCTCGATACGATCTCGCAATCCACCAATCGCTTTGCGCTCACGCATCCATGTGCTACAGGTCAGTACAGGCTAGTACTATATACAGCTATCAGATTTCACTATTTCTTCTTTGTGTTTCAGAGGGCGATTTTCGTTCGATGAAAAGACATTAAAAGATCTTAAAAAGAAAAAAGATGAAGAAATTGAAGATATTTACCGTTCGATTAGGACGGTTAAGTAAATCACAAACATTGTGTTCCACAATATACGATAGTATCCGTTTATGGTGTGTTTCGATTTCTACCAGATACCGGAAGAACAGATCAAAATTGTAATTCATTATGCAGTGTATATATGCGTGCATAGTATTAGTTTGAGTTTACTGTTTCTGGTCATGTAAGCAAGTTTCATCGTTGTTAATATTAGCGGCAATTTGTATAATGTAGACAATATTGCGGCGACGTTAGAAACACATACTTTAGTTACATATATCGCCTTTGTTGTAAAAGCAACGAATGTTAATGTCTTCCGTGTACCTCTGTGTGTGTGTGTGTGTGTGTGTGTGTGTGTGTGTGTGTGTTAGAACCAATATCACATGATTTGTGATGAGAAAAAAAAACAGAAAAAAAGACAAAAATACATGTAACAACTATATCGTATCGACTAAATTAGTTTAAGGATTGCATTCGGTTGCAACTAACGCGGAAATACGAGGACAGTAAGTGATCAAACGGAAACATTCGTTTGATCGCGGTATCGACGTCGCGACGTATAATGCAATGTGAAACACAAGTGACATGTGATTACCAGTGTGTCTTAGACAAAAAAAAAAACTTAAATCGATCGACTGCGTAAAAATAAATAAATAAAACAAGTAAAAAAAAGACATAAAGTGTATATGAAAACAGATAGTCATATATAAATGTCTAGTAGCCAGCACCCTGCGGATTTGAACGCAAATAAAAAAGAAAAACGCAGTATTCTCAGTGTAACAGGTTTACATTTATTGTCTCGATCTCCCCTGGTTTAGGCATATATTAATAAATGTAATATTCATTGCCATTCATTAATGTGGCTTACAACGTGGGGCTGTATTAAAAGTAAAATCGACGATTTTCTTTTAAAAGTACCATTCTGATGCGCTTCACGCCATATATATATATATGTATATCCGTATATTATACATATGTATATATTGGTTCGAAGCACGCTCTCTCGAAATTTCTTTGAACAGCGCACGACGACGAGTCGTGTTACAAGCAACGAAAAGACTACTACCTACTGCTCTTATCATCGTTAACAATTCCACGTTTACTCTTTCTATTTTGGCTTATTTCTTCGTCACGAACTTCGAACCCTGACCGCGTGCTATCACCAACTTTTTCGCCTGTTGCAACAGATTAAACGAGCGTTTCTTTGTATATACTGTGCAAGTCGCACCGATTAAACGTATTAAAGTTGGTACAAGCGAATATTTAGTTATCTTTCGTTGTATATATGTATGTGTGTGTACTTCCTTTCTCCCAATTAAAAGTACGCATTTCATTGACATGGCGAATACTCCGGAACAACGGCAAGCAGCAGTCATATCTCTACGATGATATCCTTACAAATATTGAATGCTAAAAATACTAAACAAGACAGTCTTCTTTCACTATTAATAAGTCTCAGTTTATCGATTCTTTGCACTTTCAATTCGATAAAACGAATTGCAGAACATAATATGTATATGCGTATGATCCGACTAGCGTTTATCAACTGTTTCGTATAATAAAAGCTTTGAAAATCGTACTTGTATAATAATTGCAGTCATAGAAAAACAGCGAAGAAGTGCGCTAGAACTGTTATACCTGATGTCGCTACTTTTTCGTTCCTTATATAATCGTCACATTTTTCCTTCATCTTATAATATAATGTCATAAATATCAAAGATGTGTACTTTTTAAAATATATATATATACATATATAATAAATATATATATATATATGTATTATATATTATAAATATATATGCATATATTATATATATATTGTAAATATATATATACATATATTATATATATATGCTGTAAATATATATACATATATTATATATATACATATATTATATATATATGCTGTAAATATATATACATATATTATATATATATTGTAAATATATATACATATATATTATATATATTGTAAATATATATATACATATATATTATATAAAAACACATGTATATTATGTATGAATGTATAAAAAAGATAGAAAATATGTAAAATTAAAAGTAAGAAAAGCGTGGCTCGTAGTATCAAAAAAAAAAAGAAGAAAAAAATTAAGAAAAAGAAATAATAATATAGAATCTTTCTCGAGAAGTCACAATAATCGTATGTAAAAAGACCTGCGTGTTTGATCGTCCTCGAGACCATAATCGATCTTGCCGGTGCTCCCAGAGCATACCCTTGCAATTGGCGCTCTCTCTCCCTCCCTCTCGCTCTCTCTTTCTCTCCTCTCTTATATCGTTTTACATAATTTGATATCAATACCTTTTACTTTTTTAATAGTTTAAGTTAATTTAAACACAACTAACAGCAGCACAGCATAGTCCGGTACTGACCTATAACCATTACGGACGGATGGATTCCGGGAGGTTCGCACGATATATTTTTCTCCATTATCGGCCCGTATTACCTCTTTCTCTTTCTTTGTATTTTTGTCACACTCATTCATGTAGGTTCAGTACTTACACCGTCTATGATTCTTATTCCATACAAAAATAATTACGTTATATATATATCGTCTATATATTGCCATGCGTACGTTATATATATAACATCTTTCTTTATACATTTTTGCCCAAGTACTTTTTTTTCGTTAAGTTATTCGCAAACGCCATTCGCCTCGCAATACTCGCCGGTACAGCATATCGTTCAAATAGGAAATACGATATTGCTGTACGCTTTCATTAGGAAAGAAAGTTGAGGAACTTGCTACGAAGCTGTTTTCCATGTTATCTCGTTTAAATTAAATCTTAATAGGAACTTTCTAACGAAATAAGTATCTGAATCATAGAATATTCGTACGTTTAGGAAATATTATTCAACGGGACAAGTAGCAAAAAATAAAATGCAAAGTGCATGTAAAATGAGGTTATGTTCGAATACCTGCATTAGTCGATCGATCGATTAAAAAAATCCTCATTTTTAAAATATAGTTCGATCGTGGGATCGCATGACTAGATTTGTACGCGTTTATTAGCTTTCGGTTCACTAAGGATATCGACGTTTTGCATTAAAATACACGATGGTACCTACATTCTTTTTCCAAACAAGGCACTAGGCGGAAATGATCCATTAATTCTAATTAGTCGTGTATATACTCGCGCGAAGTATTGCGATGTCAATGGCTGCGAATAGATGGTGCGCAAACTTTACTTTTCTACCAATATAATGAATTCTGAGCAAATAGTGGAGGGACTCGGTCTGAGTTCGGCTAATTTGATCACCTCATTACAGAGTTTTATTGGTTCAATGAAAAGGAATTTGATTCGAGAGTTTAGGCAAATGTACCTCTAATACGTCTATCGATACGAAAACGATTATCCGAATAAATAAAATTCGAAATTTTTTATCGATGTAAAATTCATTAGGCGTTTCGCAAAAGCTTTGTAGTGAAATTTCAAAAGATTCTTTTTCCATTTTTCAACGACTGTTACGTCTTACCTGTCATACACTTAATATAGCGTATATTATTTTCTAACCTAATACTGCTTAGAATCCAAACTCTATAATAGGATGAGAAATAAGCCAGTTAGCTAGCGACGAGCTAGCTGTGCAATTAAAGAAAGAAAAAAGATGGCAGATGAAGTAGAAACAAAAAAAAAAAAAATAACAATCATCGAAAGAAGAAAGATAGGATAGAGGAAAGAATTAGAAATCGATTAACAATTATGCGATTGATAATCACAGTAGTTCGTGTTTTTCAGGCACCTTTGCTTACAAGCTAATATTCAAATAAATATAAATAGACGTTGGCGTTGACACGAGTCGATAAAAAGTACTATCGATAATAAAAAGTATAGAAATAATTATATTTAAAAAAGAAAAAGGTAATAATAAAAATAAAGAAAAAGAATCATAAAATTCTAGTCATAAAATTCTAGTCTGCAACCTTGTGAGTATTTAGCAAGAAAAGCATATATATATATATAGAATATATACATATATATATATATACTTTTAAATATTTATGTAATGTATTTTGCGCGCGCGCGCGTGTTATAAATGATCCAAGTATCATAGTTTCGTAATAATAGCGTAATGAGCACTTAAATGCTAACCTAACTGATTAGGAGCGATTAATTAACAAACGCAAGTCGAGATACGTCGACGCGAATGTATGTCTGTATCTTTTCTTTTCTCTCATTTCGTTTTCTTTCCGTTCTCTATCTTGACACGAGCGAATAATCGTGCTTGAGCCATTGACGAAACCGTTATGAATCGCGTACCACGTGACGATCGCACGTGACATAAAACTCAGGGTTTGCGTATCATCCTTTTCCACATTGCATGATTAATCGGGAAATCTACGGCATCTACGAACTCGGGGCTGGATCCAAGGCGACTTGATTTTTTAAAAAAACTGTCGGGAATACAGAAGGCGCACGTGCGAGATTACTGATTATTCTTTTAATTTAGAATCCTACTCACAATCCGAAATAATAACGTAAGATTAAAGAAGGAATATACCGTTTGTGCGCGCTCGTTAAAGAAATCGATTATTTTATACTATATTATATATACGATATCCCGCAAGGCGTATCGTACTTGAAAAATATTAATAAGAGGCATGGTTGTAGACGAGAATATCCGTCATTCGAAATAATTGTAAGTATTTAAAAAACCATCAGAATTATAAAACGGAATTCGGTCTTATATCGCTTATCGTATACAAATGCCGCAAAAGTATCACACGATCCTTTATACTGTTGCCATGAAAATGAATCACATACGTCATATATGTGTATATACACCATTAAATTTATATGTACCAAGCAAGTTCATATTTTCTTATATTTTCTAACCATGATCGAGATTTGTATACAAAGAATATTGTATATATTTAAACAAAATCCATGAACGAATGAATATAGATAAATTACTAAATTAATTTTATTATGACAGTTATTAAATTCGATTAGCCAAAAGGAGATTTAAAATTAATATTGCACTGATAAGAATATTTTGAAAATTATTAAAAATCATCATCTCGACGTGTCTTTGTTATCATATACGATACACCTTATGGAATATCTTGTGTATTATTTTATGAAAGTTGATTCATACTCTTTTGTAAGTATAAAATGGGTAGAAAATGTTTTGAAGCATTTTATTACTGCAGGCATTAAAGAATCATTAAAGAATGATTTTTAGCTATGACCTTCCACTAATATTATGCAAAGTACTTTAATAAAACAGCCCATAACATAGAAAATTTATCTTATCACCAACATTTAATTTTTTATAGATATAAAAAATACTACTTTTTTACAAGTTGAACATTTCACTGTTTAGTAAATTAAGAATTCTTTAAATGTTTCGTGATTTTTTATACCCATTTTATGTTTGCATCATTAGTCATACTGTTAGTATGATAATAGTTAGACACAATATGAGCCAAACAGTTATAACATTAGATGCAAGTGGGTAATCTAAATTAAATCTCCCAAAGAAGCCTAAATGATTAAATAAGAATATTTCGAATTTTTATCAAATATTGATACTTTTTAGATTAAGCATTAACCAGGTGGTTGGAATAAGCTTGAGGATAAGCCCTCTAAATGTAATAAGACCCAAATTATTTTAACAGAATAATTAACTAACTGACGCATTGATGGAAGCACCTGAATCTGTTAATTGCTGAATAATTAGAAGAAAAGTCAGTTCTAATATGGACTTATATTTCAAACCAGAAATATCAACAATAAAGATCAACGCTAATTTCTTTTTTAATTATTATTAATCCAAAAGTATTCACGTTTACTAGGAATATAAATTTACACAGAAAAAGAAATGGTAGCATATAAGTCCATACTAACACGTCGAGTAACCGTTATCGAGAGTATAAAAAAACTTACTAATACTTACATTTTCACCAGGGCCTCCAAAACCACCCAGATTATAATCACCCATTCCACTTCCACTATCTTCCCGAGGTGTCCCAGGACCACCGTTAGCTGGACTGTTTTTCATTCCATCAAGGCCATCACCATTCAACACAGGACCCATTGTGTTTGGTCCCATAGGACCCATCGGACCACCTTCTGGCCCACCGCTCATTGGAAAGTCCTGATACAATCGAACAAATTATTATTGCTATTATATCTGTATATACTTTATTAACAGACATGAACAAAACTAAATATTGTCTTATAATGAATCATATTTGATATTACTAAATCAAAATAATACAAAAGTAGTAGACAGTTACTTACACCAGGCATATTTCCTCCAGGTACAGGTTTCATCATGGTATACATATTTTCACCACCGCTATTACTACTATCTTGAGGGCTGGGCATAATTGGTGTACCTGGACCTGGAGGACCTGTTGAACCAGGTGGACCTCCGTAATTACCAGGTGATGATGATGAATAATTCATTGGCTAAAATAAAAATTCATTATCGAATTATAATATGAACATTTATCTAATTATATCACTGACAATATATATAAAGACATATATAAAAAACATTTTGTTAATTTAAACAGGAATAAACTCTTTAAACATGTACAGATCGTAATCGTACCGTGGATGTATTAGGTTGCCATTGTTGTCTACCCCCTGGTCCAGCCATACTCATTGGTGGCATACCAGGGCCTCCTGGACCTCCAGGTCCCAAACTACTATTAGGTGGTGGTCCTCTCATTCCAGGTCCATAACTTCCCGGTCCCATTGGACCCATTCCTGGTCCTCGTGGAGGATTCATCCTTGGATTCATAGGATTCATGCCTGGAGGAGCTAGTAATAAAAACAATTTTTGATGCATTTTCTCAAAGATGTAAATATTAATACTGTTCTAGTTTATGTTAATACTAAACACTAATCGTGAATCTTTGGATCAACGGCAAATCATGTGTCTGTAAAATATTTCAACATATGAAAAAGAGTATTTTAATTTAGATCTTTATTCTTTTGTCTGTCTTCTTTTTTACTACAGAATTAAAACATTCGAGTCATGCTTTGCCGAAGTCATATGTAATAGTAAAGCAAGTGGATGACATGCTAAATTGGTAATTTGCATCTACACAAATTAATGAAATAACAAAGCTCATGCGAAGGATGAAAAACAACGCTACTAAGTAACTTTTACAAACGTATGAGCTTTTAACTTGACAAAGGAAGATAATAGCGCCAGATACATAACGAACAAGACAATCATTCAATTAATACCTAGTAAAAGGATTGCGACATCATACAGCAATATTTTTATACATTTATGTGATATGAAATCAATTGTAAAATATTGTAAAGTTATTGTTCTATAGTTGAAGATGATATTTTCCTTTTTAAGAACACATGAATCTTTTTCTCTTAAAACGTTACGAATGAGAAAGTAATGAGCAAGTAACTGCATTATAGTTCTTAGTATATGTTAAATTTACGCTACAATGATTGACAATGACAATAACAAACAGATATATTTTGTTAGCCACAAAATTATTGCATTATACCTATGCAATGAGAAACTGTAATGTTAAAACAGTTATTCCTTCTTCTTTTACAAATATGAATATATCTATGTTAATATTTCACATATAAAAATAAAGAATCTCTTTAAATGTGATCATTTTTTGTACATAAAAAACTGTTCTCAAATTCAACACATTGATTCTATTATTATTAAATTACGATTGGCATACTGAATGCAAGATCGGACGAGCAAGTATCGCACAAAGAAACGAAGCTAGTGCATTTATTCATAAAAAGTGAGAACAGAAACTTTAAAACGAGCAGGAGAAAAAATAATAGTTAGGCTTGACTAAGTCATGTGAGTGTGATTTGGTTGCTGGGTTGCTTCCTACCTTGCCACCCTACAAATTCTCCAGCTTCGCCTGAGGAACACAAGAGCACACATTAGTACGGCAGGTAGGTAAGGTCAGGTTGATGGCGGTAAGGTCTAGTTACTTTGCGGTCGCATAGTGAATAAAGTTGTAAATATTACTTTAATGCTACGAAAATATATCGTTATAGCATATACCGACAAGTTGTATTGTATATTTAAATACTAGTTTAACGAGTTGCTTCTAAATCCTTATTGTTAAATATTGTTAAATAATATATTCACGTCAGATTTTTTTTATTTGAATCCTTATTTATATGTCGCAATAAGATTATAGATCATTTAAAACGATATTTCTTGATAATCAAAAAAATGTATAAAAAAATATCTAGCAACATTTTTACAATAAAAAATTCTTAGACAATTATAACAACTATAGGATTGTATATAGGACTATTATATATACTAATATTACATTATTATTAAGATGTTTAGTCTAATCATCACTGAAACATTAAATTTGTATCTTTATCTCGAATGCAAAAAAAGAAAGCAAGAATACACAGAGTCATATAAATATATAATGCTAATTATAATGATTTAACTTGAAAACTACACCACTGCACGTAACTAGACAATTCAAAAACCAATCCACTCCACATCACAGCAATCCAATCCACTTTTAATAATTACTGATTTATTTATTGCTGTGTGGTTTTTGGTATGCATGCGTCTATGCCATTCTCCTCTCGCAATTATTGTCAATGCCAGAAAAAAAATCAATGTGAATCTAGCATATAACTGAGCCCTTACCTTGCCTAGTTGGGTCCATACTATTTGGCATCATCGGTTGTCCAGGTGGCTAAATAAAAATATCAATATGTCAATAATTGTTGCAAATCGTAATTTAATGTACATTATTTACAATAGTTTGATCTGTTGGTAAAATAATAATACATACCCCATTAAAATCATTTCCCATTTGTGGCATACGTACTCCAGGCCTTGGTCCAGCAGGATATCGAGGCCCCATGAACTGTAACAAGTCAGGAAGTTATACATTAAGTAAATTATGTTTGCCAATATAATTATATAGCTAAAACCCCAGAATGTTATAACTATTGTATATCACAAAACTGACACACCAGGCAGCCGCAACAAGCAATTAATCACACATTAGGCAATATAACATATGCACTTTGATAGAAATCATCATAGTGCATCTGGAGGACGCGTGTTATATTAATGTGGAAATAGAATTGCAAACCATAGGGGTTTATACTCAACAAAGAACAGATTATTTAAATCGAAGGACGATGTGCATTTAACACAACTCTTACCTTAAAATAAGCCCATTACAGACAAAAATGATAATTTTTTTTACATTGTGCAATATTAAAGAAACCTTTTTTCTTACCTTAAAATTTCTGTTGTTACACATATTCAATAAAACAATTTTGTTTCTTTTTGGAGTACAATAAATACAATATTGCAAAATCATGTATTAATCATTAATGTATTTAAGTGTAGAAAAGATACAAAAAATCTGTGCTTGAAACAATATCATTATCCGTAACCATTTAAGCGAATCCTGTTTGTATATTCTATACATTGTACTTGAAGAATGACGGGTTAAAAATTGTACAGTAGAAATAACTTTGGTAGGAAAAGAAGCGATTTCGAGCAAACAGTCATAGGTACACGATGATATGGTATAATGAGAGTGGACTGAGTGATTTTCCATGAGTGATAGTGTATGTGTCGAATGAGGCTTACCTGAGTGGACATCATCTGCGAGTGTGGAGGCGGGGGTGGCTGGGGGTGCTGGGGGGATGGCTGTGATGAGGGGTGTGTGGGCGGAGATGGTCGCATTGTCGAGTTGTTCTGCAACAAGCAACGCAAACGACAGACATGTAGCAACACTGCGATCCAGGCAACAGCTAGACTAGAAGGCTTGGGTATGATTGTGTTAATACTATGTTGGTCAGCTCCTTAAAAATCTAAAAGTTATAATTACGAAAATA